TGAAAATGAATTTTTCGAAGTTGCCTATAATAATGGTGAAATCGTTGAAAATAACCGGTACCGAGATTACGAGACTTCGTTAGCTTCATTTTATTAGTGAGCCTAACTAGAAGTGTCTACGCTGCGGGCGGATTCACTATATGAGGTTACATTTTTCTATTTGTAAATTTTTGCACTTTATTTTTAGCTAGCTTATTTTCAGATTTTTAGAAAAGAATATGTATACAGAGAAAGTGTACTTGAACATAAAAAAAAAAGTTTCTTAATTAGTTCTCGGCATTTACTTGGTCTTCTAAATTAAAAAAAATGTTCCGCACCAAAAACTTGAGAATTTTAAGCGGTAAAATACATTCACGCGATCAGAATGTGTTATAGAAAACTAGTCACTTGATAGAGTTTCTTATTAAACCAAGGATCATAAAGAGCCTTGTGCATAAAAGCAGCTGTCGCATACCCGATACAACATAAATCTCTCACGGCACCCAAGAAATTGCCTCGGATATGAATACACAAGTGAATATTTGAGATTATAGACAAGAGTAAGGTATGAGGAATAATAATTCTTGCTTTAATAAAATCAGTAAAATAAACAGCATAATAATAAATAGTTTTTACAGTGGTAGAGCCCGCTTTAACATCTTCGCACGAATTGGCCAGGTTCACCCGGTGAAATACCGCGACCACACAGAAGACAGGCGTCAAGTGGAAGCAATTCCGCGTTTCGTCTGATGAGTGTGCGTCCTCTTTCCCCTCCCACCCTTTTTCTTATAAGGAAACGATAGGAAGTGGAAGTGGACTTTCCGGATGAGAGGATGCATGGAAAGGGGAAATATTTTCTTTCCGTGCATCCTCTCCTCCGTCGATTAAAGGTAGGCAACGCATATGCAATTGCGTATGTCTATGGGCAACGGTCACTTCGCTATTTCAGCGATTTCAGGTGGCCGTTCGCTCGTTTGCCACCTTATGATATAAAAAAAATCGAACAATTTAAGTAATACGAAACGTTCTAAATTCAAGAGCAATTAATTTTAATCTTCAATGACTTACCAATTTTTGAATCTTATAAATAGAAAGGAGAAGTAGAGATAGAAATGGAAATATAGGACCTTATGTAATGAAAAGTATTCGTCTATTTCAAGATATCATTTTCTTAAGTCAAGTAGTACGTGGAGGGTTGACTATGCTCGCGTAATTCACGCTAATTACCAACATTTGTGATGAATAGATAATTAATCTTCTTAAGAAAATTTCATCACAAAGATAAGATTGTCCAGTGCTTTTATATCACAAAGATCTTTTCTCATCTTTTAATTAGTTTAGGAAATTTAACTATCTAATCTTTGTAAGATAATGATTTGGAAACGATAGTACCGAAGATTTCATGCTTTAGAAGAAGTTTAGAACTTTCTGTTCAATTCTTCAGGAATAATGAAACATAATGGGATTAGTTATTAATTTTCTGAAGCTTTGTGTTGCCAGTACCCGACCCTATTTCATTATTTAATCATAACAAGTTAAAAACGCTCCATTGCACTATATTTCCTTAATCCAAAAAGGTATTCAAACATGTATACCATTATTACTTTCAAAATATTCCTAAATTATAACAACCAATTATCCCTAATAAGTATACTTAAATCTTGTTTGTAGAAACTTTAGTTCACTTCTTTGACCTCTTTACCTAAAAGTCTATGTGTACATAAATGTATAAATCACGACGATTATCAAAAGTTAGGTCTTCATTCCTAACAATATTTTATATTTGTAACACGAAATGAAACTTTCATAAGGGCAAGCACTAATCCGTGGCTAAGAAAAGTTTTCCCGCTCGCGGCGAGCGACGAGTGGACGAAGAGCTGACTAAAGCTTGGCGATTAAGGACTTCAAACTTACGAGAATCTCACAATTTTTCCCACTTTTTTCACCCAACTTTAAACTCACTTCATACTCCAGCCAACTGCATTAAACATTTTTAACTCTAAGTGCTAGTGGAGTTTAGTAGTTTAGTGAAGCTTTTTAAAATAATATAAATAAATAACTATAATTTCATATGTATTTATTACATCAAAATAATACAATTATACTCAAACTACCTTATCTTTCCTTTAGTAAACGTCATAAAATGGTGATTTAATTAATAAATAATTTTTATTTTACGCGATAAATGGACACAATACACAAACATAATAACATAGCCAAGGTAGTTATGGTGAAAACGAGTAGGTATTTACTGTATTGTAATTATTCAACCCTTGTCTCAACATAGCCATTGTTATCAAAATCTCATTTACCCCTGCGTTTGTACGACATTCCTGGCTTGTGAACTTTAACCAACTACACGTTATTGTTACAATATAACCAGATAAATATACTTCGCAAACAATGTTTGTGTCAACACATCAAAATTGTTCTAAGTTTTCGCAATCGGTTGAAGGGAACGACGAGAAATATCATTTTACAGAGTAATAGAAATAGCGAATGAGCGTCAGTGGCTCAGGGGTGAAGCACTTGAATTGTAATCTGCAGGTCCTGGGTTCGAATCCCGCTATTTACCAATGCGGTTTTCGAATTACACATGTACATTTATCCGATGTTCTTACGGTGAAGGAAAACATCGTGATGTAATCTGCACATCTGAGAAGAGATTGAAAGATATGTGTAAAGTCAACCAACCCGCACAAGGCCAGCGTGGTTTGACCTAATCACCCCTTACTTAGGGTAGGCACCGAGCCCCTCTGTGGGGAAGTACATTGAGCTAGTGATGATGATGATGGTGATGAATCAGAAACAACATTTCCTACAATGCTCTTACATAAGTTCACTCTATATTTATATCACACGGATTTTTCATTGTTTTTAAAATTTTAAAGCTTGCATGTCTGTTTTTAAATATCGCCTGGAGCGTTCGTAAACCTCACTACGTATAGATAAGGGATGTTTTAAAATTGTATTTCGAATCATTGAACGATCGAATAGCACAGACCAAATGGTTATTTTCCATTTTAGATTTTGCAAATCGTGAACAAATTCATTTATTTGCTAAAGCATTGTTGTCATATCATGAATTCTACGTTAGGCCTCGAGCTAAAGCGATATAATCTTTAAAATGACATTTAAAAATTATTGTGTTATATTTAACTGCATTTATATTATCATTTATTTTATATTATTTTAAATTTGTTATTACTAATTGAAGAATAACAATGTAATAGGTGTGTTTATGATAAAAAAAATCCAATTTTCTGGTTATAAATTACAGGAAAAATCAAAAAAGTTTCATCCAATTATACAGGCCGTGGTCGCCGGTCTACTTCATATATATACTAAGCACTTAGGTGAAAATCTGAAGATATCTAAGCGAAGTATAACAACATTTTTAACGAAACAGCCACCTTATAGTTATGAAGACGTCTTCATTAAGTTTAATGTCTAATATTATACGTTTATCGAAGTGAACAGAAGGATCTTATTACCAATATTATTAATGCGAATATTTAAATTAATGGATGGATGTTTGTTTGAAGGTATCTCCGTAACGGCTCAACGGATTTTGATGAAATCTTGCACACATGTAGAACATAGTCTGGAAGAACACAAAGGCTACTTAATAAGATTTTTTAACTAAGCGCGGATGAAATCGCGTGCGACAGCTAGTAACGAAATAAATTAAGAAAAAAAAAATTAATGTAGCTAGAGAATGGAAACAGAAGAAGGAGCAGATATTCAATGATGAAAAAAGAGAAATAAAAACTAGTAACTTTTAAAATATTCATTATAATTACAACTCATGATCAATATGTGTTAAACAAAGGTACAATTAATATTTTATTTCATGAGTTTCTGCACAACAACCACTGGCTAGAAATATAAACCGTAGACAATTATAATAAAGGAAATTAATTAATAATTTTGAATACTACATGAATGGACCCTTTGCGGCGACTACAACAGTGTATAGAATTTATAATCATACCCTTTAATATATTTGATTGGAACAGAAATAACCAAAATTGCATGCAAAATCAATTCTCTACGATAGGTCAGTTTTTTTTTTGCTTGATAGTTCCGTTTAAAAAATGTATTATAAAAACGTATATGATTTTTATAAACGTGCATTTAAAAATGTTTTTTTGGTTTCAAACGAACTTAATATCCGTAGTCAGTAAACAGTAAACTAAGAAATAGGATCATATAAAGATTTTATAAGAAGAAATCGCATAAGTGAGAATTTAAATTTTCCAATACTGTTTTATTGACTCTGAAGTAATTTTCTATTTCACATTGAAAACGTTCTTCTACGTTAACGGAAGTTTTATTGAAATTCCAAACAATACAAACATTTCTAAATATATACAATCCTTATATCGATGAGGACGATATAATATTAGTTATATCATGCGTACATAAAGAAAAAAAGATAGCAAGATAATTGAACAATGTTGATTTTAGTCTTTAAATTTACCTCATCTCATGTAAGCTAAATAACTAAAATCGACAAAAAATGTCCCCATGTAATTAGTCATTTTTTACTTTTTTTTTGTTATCGTAGTGGTAAATGATGATACGATTGACGGCAAGTAAATTAATTAATTAATTAATTAATTCACTTAAAAAAATCATACCAAATATAAAGTATTTTAAACATCATGTATATTGCCTTGACTTTATATTTTTGAGTTGTTACTTATATTTCCTAACGTACAAATTTCCATCTGCACGACATAAAAGTTTCCGTCGGCATTTACTTGTTGCGCGTTTCAGAATATTTTCTCCTGGATAAAATTTAAGATGTAACTTGAATTTGTTACAAGATAAAGGAATAATAATTTGGTTAAACCATTACTGTTTTTAGTTCTAATATTTTTAATGCAAAAAAAAGTAAATAAGGCTCGTTTTGTTAATTTTACGAATGTCATATTTTCTTTACAAATTATATTAAAAATATACTTGCATATCTTATGTTTTAAAAAGTATGAAGTAACTTTTATAATTTAACTTACCTTAAATGCGTTGAGCGCAGGGTCGAAAGTTTGAATTTATCTAATTTATGATAAAAGTAAATGTAAGGTATTCACAAAAAAGTAAACTGACACTGCACTGGTTAGACGAAAGTTGGAGATGAGTTTATCGTATGGTCGCAATGTCCTCAGTGAGAACGTTTGGTCGCGCCAAACTTGTGTGACGGTTGGTTGGTGCGACGGGTTTATATCGTGAGTCGAGAGGATGCTGCGCGCATGCGTCCACACCATTCATGTCACCATCTCAATGACCGCCTCCGCACCAATCAGTTTTTTTTTAACAAAAAAAGTTGCCTTCACATTTGCATAAAGCTGAGGAAAATTTTCAGAACTTTTTTTCAGATTTCAGAGAATTTTTTTTAAATCTGCCTCTTGCGGGTGTGGAATTCAGATAATTTATAACCAATTACTTAAATAGTTATAATTACTTTAAAGTCTTCATAATAGTTTACTTAACTTTTGTGATATTATATATTAAAATAACAGTATTAAATAGCAGGATTTAAGAGAAAAAGAGTTCCAATGTAGAATAGTGTAGAAAAATTAGTTAGGTCTATATATGAAGAAATGTTAGTTCGAGTCTGTTATACAAACTGCGCAATATGTGACTTGAAACTTTTCTTGTTCTTTGCAAAGCTATAAGTTATCTAAAATCGCTATAAAATGACAAACGTTAGGATATAAAACAAACTTTAAGTGAGTTCAATCCTTTCAAAGCTGAACTGAGAACAATGTCTTGGAAAATTACACTAAAATGTATCTTAAACTAAGTAAGAACTTCCATTATCTTTCCCAACTATTAAGTTGATACACTTTATATGGACTATATTCTTTTTAACACGATAAAACTTTTATATAACCCAAGTGCATTGCATAAAAATGTCGGGAAAACTTCCTAATATTACCAAGTACTCGGCTTTTAATTACATACAAATACTCTGAGAAGAGATTCAAAGATATGTGTGAAGTCAACCAACTCGGAGTGGGCTAGCTTGGTTCACTATGGCCTAATAAGGTAGGCTCCGAGCTCCTTCGTGGGGACATAAGCTATTTATATTCTCATAGTATTTTTTTAACAAATAACTGTAAAACTACTACGATAATTATCTTCTGAGTAAAAATATATTTCGTATACGATTATTATTATAGTGAAGATACGCTTTACAACGTGTTCCCACTGAAAACAACCAAGCGAAAACATGTCGTTGTCTCACTCTTTCCTAGGAGAATGTGAGGACTAAAAAATATAACAGTAGAACAATTATATTTAATTTAATTTTCATAGGAAAATGCATACACTACATGCTTCATGAATCGTCACTTCATATTTAACTAGTGTCGTAATGATGACGCTATACCATAAAGATAAACGCATAATAAAATGGAACGCAACAGCTTAACACAGTTAAATATGACGTGACGTAGTAAAAACTGTTGTAGATTTCCAAAAATACTTTAAAAATGTTTCTCCAAGTTTTAGAAGCTTTTTCGTTTTAAAACCTATAAACCAACTAACGGTGATGAAAAACGCGATGTAACCTGCACATATCTGAGAAGAGATTCAAAGTCAGCCAACCCGCACTGGGCTTGGTCTGACTTAGGCCTAATCACCCCTTACTTAAGGTAGGCTCCGAGCCACTCGGTGGGGACGTATAGTGAGATGATGATGATGAAACCAACAAATGCCAATTGGAAAAGGAAGTTTACGTAGTAACAACTATTTTTAGAGAACTTAGGTAAGTGTGTATATAATGCATATAAATCAATTAACCAACAAAAACCCCGGGAAAGGCCAGTATTAATTAATGTGTTACGATTTTAAAATTAATCATCGTGCGTTTGTTATGTGTTATTCATTATTTGAACAAACTTAGACACGCGAACGTCGCATTGCAAACATTAAAATCCCGTTTCGTTTTTACAACTCGCACGTAGCGAATGACTACCTTCATAAAGATGGAGAAATTACAACGGCCCTGTTTATCTTATTACGAATCAAAATTTAATTTGTCAGGCAACTCGACGGGTGCCATTACACGCTTCAGTAACTCCATTATTTCAATTAATCTTATACGCGTTAATCTTTCACCTTTAAAATAAATGGAAAATTTATGGTTGACTGTTATTTTATTTTACCACCGCGATTTAACTTATAATAAATATATTTACTATTGCCAATTGAAGTGATACGTAAAATTTTGATTTACTTGAAGTTTACAAATAATTATTGAATATTTGGTCTAATAACTAGAACAATAGAATCTCTACAACCTGGACCTTGTTGTCCTCGGAAATAAAAAAACAGTATTTGTTGCTTCAGTGGAAGGTAGCAGTGAATATAAAAATTGACCTATAATATTCCCGAATACATCAACCATCTTCAAATAAAAGTCCTGTTAATATAGGTACAACCATTTCAAAGATTACCCGGAACAAACGTGGACTTGCGATCAGATGTTACATACAGACACTCCATTTGTATTAATTATATTTAAATAGATAAATAAATATACGATAGGTACTTACAGTTAAGTAATAGCTGCAATACCCACTTCTAAAACAAAAGATGTTCTTAAAATCACACTAAGCTATTGAAATTGATATTTGTATTTTTTCAAAAGTACGTCACTTTGCAATTCTGGGCACTATCTGTACGGGTTCTAGTCGTATCGTTGAATGACGTTTTGGTGTTTTTCTAGTAACTATAGTAGGCAAAATATCGATCATCAGCATTGGCAATGAACCCTCAAGGTCTTCCACGTGTCGATCTCTGCCTTTTGCAATCGTAACTAAAATAAGGTTTTGTGTAAAATTTTGCAAATTTCTAACTAAATTATAGGTTATTAGGTAAACCTTTATTCTCAAAGATTTTCTAAACTTTTTAAAATTAAAAATATAGGTAACAGTTCCTCTCTTGCCTTCTGGATCGAAAAATCCTAATAGATCTTTTTGTCATTGCTATAGAAATATTTCAAAGTATGACGAAAATGTTTAATAATATAGTTTCTTAACCTGTCCGGAAGAACTTTGCCGATTGACAGCTACATTTGTAATAATTACTAATCAAACATCGATAAGGTGTTGTGTCACAGATTACTGTTATATTACCGTGGATATCGACTGGCGAATAACCGACATAAAACATATCGTTATCTCTTTTTCTCATATAGAGTGAAAGGGATGACAACATGATGAGTGCCTGTTTCGAATTACAAATGATAACGTAGAAAATGACGTGAAAAATGAATGAAAACACAACATCAACGCGTGTTAGTCATACGAGTACACAACGCTGATAAACTAATGGCGCAGATTAAAGACAAACAATGTTTAATGCTCGCATAAAATTACGCAATAACAAACTCTACAAGAACTTAAAATGAACGTATGGTACTCAAAAATTGTAGTTACCTATTTATATCATACAAAGATGTACAAAAACAGAGTTAAGGTTACTTCCATAGTTGTCAAAAAAAATCTATGCATGCGTTAATAATCTCGAATAAGCGATACAGGTACAAAAATTATTTCCCCCAATGCCAAATCAAGAGATGGGTAATCAAAAATGGCGTTTCCACTAACGCCCTAAAAATTTCATGTCCCCTTGATTTCTTTACGAGGCAAACAAGACAGTAATTAATATTTTTATTGCTTGCCGCCATTCGAATCATCAATATTGAAACATCCCCTGGAATTGATTTTACTTTATGTCATTATTATCCATTTATAGCAATACTTTATGGAAATTTGTTAGTACCTTGAATAAGTAATACGCGCGTGGAATTTTTTAAATCATTGTGTATCCTCATTACACCGATTTACAAGCAAACCGTTGGTAACATAATAAAACAGCCATTAAAAACCAGAGCAAATTGGATCTGCTTTAAAACCTTCGTGGTCATTTTGTCTGGGTTTTTAAAGTGACATAACTGTGACAAAACTTGCTTACTGTCAAAATTTAAAATTATTAATATATTTTAATAAAATTTAATAGCGAATAAATAAGACCATGGGTAAAGGATAATATTAAAGGTAATTGATAGAATTTGTAATTCTACACGATTTATTTATTTCCCTAAATGCCACATAATGCAATTACAATAAAAATCAATGATATGTTATTAGCTAAAATCACCAACAATATAAGTTAATCGTGGACTCCTGAGACCAATATCTGCGTTTAAAACATATTGTTATCTTTTTATTAACGACAATAATAGGGATGATATGTTTTATACAGAGATTTTTGAATCTGGAATCCATAGTAAGTGAAGTGAATAGCAACTCATTAGTTGAATGATATTTAATGTTTGAATTGAATATTGGTTTATGTTTTTTGTATAAAAGCAATCAAAGTATATTGATTATTCATTTGTGTGAGATGTCAGTAAAACTTTTAATGGAGTTAACCAGCAATACTCGAAGCAATAACTCAATCAAAAAAAAAACATTGCATAAAGTGACACTTAGACGCCGTGACACGTGCTGACACCAGGGCTACGCAAGTGGCGCTAGCAACAAATTAACATTTTAATTGCCGCCAGAACGTTTTTAGAGCAATCAAAGCCTGCCAGTTTTAACGTCCACGATATAGGAAAATCACCGTCCTCGTATGAAAACCAATAACACCAGTGACAGGCTCTTAATAGGTTATTGTGATTTTTAGTTTATAAAGAATCCTTTTTGGTCAATTTCAATATGTCTGTTAGATTATAAATATCGTGTGAGATGTACTCTGACAAAATTTTTGCTCCTTTATTTAGAAAAAAAATAAATAAAAATTCAAAAAGTTCTAACTGTGATTTTAAGCTTACAATTTTTTTTTACAATTTTCTACACTCATTGTTTTGTTGCAGCTGGAATATTAATAAAAAATATTTGAAAATTAACGATAATATATTGATGTTAGCTGCTGCGATGAATATATGCGCGTAATAGTCATAAAATGAAGATATTTTGGGAAAAAGTTTAAGAAATATGGAAAACATAAATGTTATCTTCAAGAACTCTAGCCCGTTTCTTTACTTTGTTACGGGACTTCTTCTTCTCTTTGTTTACCTAAGAGGGATGAACTGGAGCGGTATTATTTGTCCAGAAGAAGTTGATTTGGGATCTGTGAGAGTCTTGAAAAGAACATGTCGCAATAAACGTAATGATACGAGTCATTAAAATTTAATTTTTAAAAAGAATTCTTGTAATCATTGTACGCACACGTCCCTTAATCTTGAATTTGGTTATAAGTAGTGCAAGAGTTAATAAATTTACAAAACTTGTCCGTTTTTTAGAAAATTTAGTCATTAAAAATAAAATTTTATAAATTTAAATTTAAACTATCATCCAACTCTTTCAGTTTTGTTTTAATTATACTGACATTAGCGAAACAGACCACATCATTGTTTGCGCTGCGTTGTATACTGGTCGAAGCTATACCATATAAACGTCCGCCTTGCACCAACAGATCGCCAGCCCTTACCGGGCATCGGGAGAGGTACTTGACGCATATCACGCTATTACGACGAGAATTATCAATCAACTGGCCATTGTGCGTGTAGTTGTTGAAAACATCTAGAGAGACCAGCTGTCGGGAAAGGGACCTATCTCCTCGGAGCGGTCTGCCAATGACGAAAGCGTGCGAATCCTTGTCCATATTAGCAGCAATTCGTATAGGATTTCCGCAAAGGGACATTTTCTTGTTTGTAGATAAAAGCACCAAGTTTTTCGATACGACGCCATCGTGTGGTATCAGCTCAGCAGCGTCTAACGAGAATCCTTTTTTGCAATATTGACTGTAATGGAGAAATATATGGAACATAATATGTAAGTGTATAAAAAATACTCTCTAAATATCAAGTGACGACCGATACAGGTTTAAACTAAAAGACCTTTAAGATAATCAAATAAATTAAGACGAGAGTCTAGATACTTTAGACTTCAGACTGAAAAAAGCTTAAACTTAAATTTGTTTCACAAAACATCACATTCCCACACTGTAGATCCTTGCTTTTTAGAACTCTGACATTGGTAGTACAAGATCCTATCGCCGTTAAATTACAGTGCATAAATTGGACATGAATCATTATTTATCGTGATTAACAATATAACCGTACTCTGTTATACTTCCAACAAATAACCGCACAGTTCCAGATTTTAGACAAACTTCATTGGCCAGAACGGAATTTTCGCTTATTACTGCGCCAACACATATCAACTGGTGCGACGTCAAAGAATGTATTCTAGCAGCATACGGATACTCATCCACCTTGACGAGGTTACAATTTATGTCGTCATTTTTATATGATTTGTTGTGTTTAAAGCTATTGTAATGCGCAACGAAGTTGTTGATAACCAAAGCCATTGTCGCAATAAAAATAGACAGAAGAAGTAAAACAATTAGTATTTTGCTTCTCTGTGTACGATCGTCCCATGGTATATCTATAAAGTTATAACTAAACTCGCTTAATTCCGTATCTATATTTTCTTCGATCAACTTATTGTTGTCATCAACGATTTCTTCCATAGCAATTAAACCTACGACAAACGCTTTCATCAAAATAAAACTTTTAATCAAATTCAAATTTTAAATCTACGTGGTTTCAACATTTTCTATGCAACCACAGAGGTAAGAACACAATAGCATGTTTTTACTTACATTACTGTATTCAACAGTTTTTTCATTTTAGTTTCGTGAAAACCTACGTTTTCAATCATTGAATTAGGTCTCGAAGTTAAACAAAAACTCATAACAAACACTACTTAGATAAATTATCAATCTTCTTAATAGAATGGTTTTTATCATATACATTTATATAAATATATATGATATAGATGTATGTGATATGTATATATATTTATATATCCAGTACAAGTTACTTGTGCGTACATGCGTCGTATAATAACCGTATAAAGAGCGAATGTAAGTTAAAGAAAAACATTTTCGACTACATTTTCTCTTTCTTGAATAATTACTCGTTTTAAAACGCAAATGACATAAGTCAACTCTTGTGTCATAAATGTCAATCATATTTATGTCGTTTGAAGTTTTGGGGTTTACTTGAAACTCAAAAACAGAGAAAATACCTTTGTTTGCTAACTTTGTAAAATAATTAAAGTGCCATGAAATTGTATTAATTTACTTATGAAAAGTCTAATTTAGATATGCCTACAGCAATTTTACTCGATGTATCATTGTCGATGACTCGGCCGGTGCCGACATCGGACACAACAGAAAGTATTACAAGACTTACAATCGCCTCAGCGGCAATAAATACGTTTTTAGATTATTTAAGTGTACATGCAAAATTAGAATATGTAGCTTTGATAACATTTTCTTCCACGTATGAAGGTAAACACCGCATCATAAACTTATACTTATCCTTAACCTTTTAATTTAATGGATATCATATCATTCATTCATATCAAATCTGCTATTTTATATCGGTGTATGATGTTTTTGAGACTTTAGAGGATCAACCTGTGGTTTATCAACCAAATTACAGTTGAATCTGGATAAGAGGTTACTGTCTCACCTAAGTTTCCGACTTGTAGATGTAACCTGTTCGGACTCAGCAATGACTCTCTAATGGAGCTTATCCAGGTTCAACATTTTTTTTACACTCAAAATCTTTTTGAATATTTATTCTATTGTTTCAGTCACTGTTCCATTTACTCGTGACTATGATAGCATTAAGGCAAAATTAGGGCATTTAGAAGAAGGTGATAAAACATGCATAGAAACTGCACTGGCAGGTGTCAATCAAATTATACTTGGAGAATGGGGATACCAAACACTTGTGCAAACTATACTGGTATGTATTATAAGAAAAATTAAGTTTTTAAAAGAAAAATATTAAATTAATTTTATTTGTTTAAAGATAACAGATGGAACATGCGGTGTTGGTGCTATAGGCAGGAATCGTATAATACAAGCACTGCCTTTGCCTCCTTCGTTTCCTTCGAAAATACATATCCTTCCAATTGTATCACCGCATGAGTCATGTCTCCAACATGGTAATTATAAGTTATTATTTATTTTCACAAATTGAAATATATTAAAACTTAGTAAGCGTTAATAAGTTTTGTCTGTGAATCTATTTGGTTTTAGCTATGCCATTGTACCAAAAAATTGTTGATTTGGCAAGCAGCACTGTGAACAACTCAACTGGCAGCATTAATAGAGGTGCTATATATTGTCCTGATCAACTCTCAGTAGCTGCGGTAAGAAATTATATCTTAAACCAATACCAACATATATATAACTTAAAATTTTCCTCGTTTTTGCTACACCTTGAGAGGCACAGAGCTACATATATTGCTAATTTTTGTTTTTTGGTTCATTCATTTAATATATTTTTATCTGTGTTTTGTACTTGTTTGTTTTGTATCAATGTTGTACACCTGTTATTGGATAAATTATTAGTTTTATTGTGTTGTGTATTGTATTACTTTTATTATTGTTGCATAATTTAGCTGTTTGGGTTCCCGATATTTTAGCATAGTTGCATGCCCCATGATCATGGGTTGACTGATGTTGACTGCACATGCAATAAGAATGCTGACAGTAGTAGTGGTAGCTGAATCAGAAAAAAGATAGACTGATACGACTATCTCTATCTATTTCCACACTACCGCACAACACCCATCAACTCTAGATCATGACGCATGGAACTGTGTCGAAATATAGGCAGCTCAAATAGCTTAATTGTGCTAAGAATTCCATTTCTAGGTAACAGTATATCAACATACATAAATAACTGAATAATTCATTTTCAGCAATGAATATTTAGCAGTAGTAGCAGCTAGTGTACATAATACTACCACTTTTCCTTCAAGTATAAATTACTTTTTGAATTAAAAACTAGTCTATAATTTCTTTGTTTAAAAAACAATAAGTTTAAAAAAAATTGTTGACACTAATAAATTTATGCATTTTATACACATAATTTGATATTTGATGTGTAACGTAACTTTTTTCTTCAAGGTTGTTACAGCTATGACAAAGTTGTGCGAGCAACAATACCAAGAATTCTGGTGTACGCTGAAGTGTGGTCAGTTAGAGACTAAAGTACAATTGTTCCCGGCTCCGCAGCCCGCATCACATGAAGGGCTTGCGGCTACATATACTATATCTAATCAAATACACGTTGTTGGCTTCTTACAACAACAAGATTTAGGTAAGAATATTTAAGTACTAGCTGTCGCCCGTAATGCGTTCGCGCCAAATTTTAACAAGATCCCTTCAATCATTCCGGAGATACCAAACAAACATCTAAACAGATCATTATGATATTTGACATTATACATAGAATAAAGTCTGGAAGAACACTTAGGCTACTAAGAGTTTTTTTTTAATTCCGCGCGGACGGAGTCGCGGGCGTCAGCTAGTTGTTTTGAAAACCTTTTATTTATATTATTTTGTTACATATCTAAAATTTTGAAAAAATTTTGCTGGTGATTTCTTGTAGGAACGCCTATAGCAATCAGTAAACATCTTATAATACCACAACCTCAATCCAATAATAATAATAACAAAGAGAATTTTGGATCAAAAACACCTACAAAAGTAAGTAAAAGAAGTAATTGATCTTCATTATTTAACAATATATTCTTAAATTATATTTGCAATTATAATTTGTAGGAAGGCTCAAGCAGTGAAACATCAACTACAGATGAAGACAATACGGATCCAAGCAAAGTACCAAACTTTTGTGTACTACTTCACGGCGCACTTAAGGTTAAAATCCAAATCTTATGTTTACAATTTAAAACAAATCTAGTCTAAATATACCGTTTTCAAAAATACTATATAAGGACTACAAATTTTAAATTTTTACTAAATAAAAAAAGAAATTCCGTAGTGGTTTAAATTTTCATGTAGAGAATTTAAGTTTTTATGTTAAATTTTAAATTAGATCTTTACAAGATGTATTGGAATAATTAATTATTGTGTGATCGCAGGATTAAAAAGCATCGGCGGCTCAAGGGCTAATTTGACTTGTAATCTGCAAGTTCGAATCCCGCCATATAACTATGTGTTTTTCGATTTACAAATATACATTTATCCGACATTCTTACGGTAAAGGAAACATCGTGATAAAACATGCACAAAAATTCTAAGAAATATTTGAAGTAACCTATCCGCTCAGGGCTTAGGGTAGACTCCGAGCCCCTCAGTGAGGACGTATAGCTGATGAGTAAGCTGATGATGATGGTAGGTGGAGGGCATGGCGGCCATAGTACAGCTAGGTCCGGAGTGGTGGGGCACGGTGTCGGCGTGGTGCGAGGCGTCTCGCGCGCGCCGCTCCTGCCTGCTGCTGGCCGTGCTGCGCCCCGGTGCCTCCGCCGCGCCCTGGCTCGGCCCTCTCGACCAGTTGGGACCGGCAGATGAATCTACCCCCGCTGGTAACTAACACCTACCTTGTTAACGGCTGTACTCGACATTTTTCCATAGATACGTAATTATATACAATATTATTTAAAAAATTGCATCTTCGTTATCAGCAACGCAAATTCATCACGTGTACGAAAATTTTCTTTCTGTATTTTACGTTAGACACCTATTTTATTAATATGTAGAGATAAAGAGGAGAAAGTAGCAGATAAGTATATAAAGTATAATATTGTATCAGAGACGTTCCCGGTGCGGTCGTGGCGGTCATACAGCAGCGCGGGGTCTGCCTGCGCGTGGGCGCGCCCGCACGCCCTACTCGCCGACGTGCAGAAGGTGTTGCGACACGCGCGCAAACTGCCCGACAAAACGCAGCACCTCTACAAGGTTAACTGTTCATATTAATTACCTATTCCCTAATAGTTTACTTTAACAATAAACCACTCATGATTATTTCAACCAGATCTGTTTAGCCGTTCTGTATGTGTGATATCAAACATCTATCCATAATTTTTTTTTCGTTTATAACATTCATAAGAAGTAATATTGCAGAGATTCTACGTCTCGTGGTTCATATCTTCCAACACATGTTTGTCAATAAAATAATTATGTTAGGAACTGAACCGACTCCGTCGAGCCGCCATATCATTGGGATTCTCTGAGCTGCTGACGAGCGTGGGCGGGGCGCTGGAGCGGGAGTGCGCGGCGCTGCCGAGCTCCGCGCCGCCGGAGTGCGCGCTACAGCTAGCACACGCGGCGGCCGCGCTGCGTGACCCCCGCACCGCGCTAGACATCAAACATACCCTTCAGCCGCTCGCCACCAATTTCACTGTTACATCAATGTCACATTGAAATGTTCTATATAACTCATATTCAAATGTTTCATAATAAACACGCTGTTGTTGACTGAATTTTTTTTATTCCTCCATTTTTAATAGAGCATAATATATCTAGTAATGCCTTATTTATATTGTAAGGCATTATTCATAAGATTTTTTTGCTTGTCCAAAAGTTACGTAAATTTAAATGGTCCAGCAACTATTTTTGATTTTGAGAATGTATATAATTACACAGCTTCAAATCTATCTCTATCTATTTTCCCCCTTTATTTAAAAACGAAATATTTATTTTCTCTGTACATATACGTTGTAAAGAATAACTATATACATTGAAAACTTATCTGCCCGGTGGACTAAAGTGGTACTAAATTACAATAGCTCATTAGCGCCCCTCTTATTGTAAAAAAGCTACACAAAACCCTTGTACTGCGTAAGCGTGTAATACTATAGTATTACACGCTTATTTGGGCCGGTACGAGAGATGGAAAAAACACATGTTTTGTATTGGTACAACACGAATCTTTCGACTTTCTCAACATTGACAAGGGAGCACTGTTGTCCAAAGAGTATATAAATGGATGAATGTTGTCTATAAATGGATAGGCGATTGCTTGGAAATGACAGCTTTTGCTTTATGCCGATAGAAACGCGTTGTTAGAAACGTGTTGATGTTACATGACAGTTAAATGTAAAATTTGATTTGTTTTGACTTTACTTAGACATTGACAGTTTGTGGTTTCGCTTTCGCCGGTGGCCGAGTTAAATATTGTTTTATCATTAACTCTAGAGGTTCATTTAAAATGTTAATTTAAATCAACGTTATGTTTGGAAAGTATGTTCTAGTTTATTGGATGGCTTTTACTCCTTTTTATAAAAGTTTACCAGGTGACTTTGTATTTGACGATTCCGAAGCAATAATCAATAATAAAGATGTAACTTCCAATGTATGGTCAAATACATTTTACAACGATTTTTGGGGTACCAATATAAAGAGTAATTTCAGTCATAAGTCCTACCGACCGCTAACAACGTTGTCCTTCAGGTAAACCATATTAAAGTTATTTGTAAGTACAAACGTATCTGAAATATTAATTGGCCTAAAAAGTTTATTAACAATGAAAAATGACTATCTCAGTCTTATGCTTTCTGTTACAGACTCAATTATATCGTGAATGGTGAGAAACTGGATGCACATTTATTCAAAGGAATCAATTTGATATGTCACTCTCTGTGTTCTGTTGTTCTAATATTTGTTTATGAAGTAATAGTCAAAAGAGTTCAAAAATGTAATAGCAGAATGTACTTAGACATAAGTTTTGTAGCTGCAGCATTATTTGCTGTGCATCCAATCCATGCAGAAGCAGTTGCAGGAGTTGTAGGAAGAGCAGACATACTAGCGACTATGACATTTCTCATATCATTTCTATTATATGATCAATCAATGAACAACAAAAAACGTACTTACATATATTTATTTACTTCAGTACTTCTAGCTGGCATTTCTATGTTATTTAAGGAAAATGGCATTACAGTATTGGTAAGTGGATAAATTAATTTTACTATATTTAAAGACATTTTACATACATTTTTTTGTTTTATGCAATAAAAATTTATTATTCCAAATGCGATGGTGGTCAATTAGTAAGATAGGCCACACAGATCTGTATTTTGAGCTGTCTAAAAATGTAGCTAAACTAACTTGATCATTTGCAGGGTTTTTGTATAGTTTACGACATAGTTCTAAACTGTGGTAAATTGAAAAGGAACAGAATAAATAAATTTATAGCAACTTTGATAAGGATAACAATAGTTTCCTTGGCTGGCGGTTTACTTATATATGCTAGATGGAAGATAATGGGCGGAATGAAACCAGAATTTAAGCCGGGTGACAATCCAGCTGCTTTTGCAAATGATACATTCACTAAGGTTACTATACTAAATCTTCATATTTATTTATTTTTTGTATGGCTTTGAATTGCCTTAAATTCAGAAGTCTAGTAAACACCAACAAGGATGTATGACCCAATGGGCATGTGTCAAACTAAATTATGACTGCACACTAGCGCCCCCCTGTCAATGTCAAAAACATCACAAGATCCTTGTTGTACTGTTAGTCATTTATTTTTCTTTTTTATTTGCTTTGTTAAAGTAGATATTACATACTACTATAGCAGCAAGGATGCTTTACTGGGATAGAGATCTTTGATTGCCTATTATAGCCTATCGGTTTAATTTTTTTTTTTATATCATAAGGTGGCAAAGGAGCGAGCGGCCACCTGAAATCGCTGAAATAGCGAAGTGTCCGTTGTCCATAGACATACGCAATTGCATATCCGTTGCCTACCTTTAATCGACGGAGGAGAAGATGCACCGAAAGAAAATATTTTCCACTTCCCACCCTTTCCTTATAAGAAAAAGGGTGGGAAGGGAAAGAGAACTAAATTAGGCCTCCGGGACGCACACTCATCAGACGAAACGCGGAATTGCTTCCACTTGACGCCTGTCTTCTGTGTGGTCGTGGTATTTCACCGGGCGAGCCGGGCCAATTCGTGCGAAGATGTTAAAGCGGCCTAATTTAGTCTTTTCCCTTCCCACCCTTTTTCTTATAAGGAAAGGATAAGAAGTGGACTTTCCGGATGAGAGGATGCATGGGAAGGAAAAATATTTTCTTTCTGTGCATCCTCTCCTCCGTCGATTAAAGGTAGGCAATGCATATGTCTATGGGCAATGGTCACTTCACTATTTCAGCAATTTCAGGTGACCAGTCGCTTGCTTGCCACCTTGATATAAAAAATTTGAGAATTGTAAACAGGCAAAAAAATTTTAAATTATGCCTAATGTGTTGTTAGGTAAAATGATGAATATTTTATTTATGTAGTTTACCTGCAAATATAAAATTTTGTTTCAGGTGGCAACTTTCCACTATATTTATTTTTTAAACTTTCTCATTTTATTATGGCCTCAATGGCTGTGCTATGATTGGTCGATGGGATGTATAAAACTAATAGAAAGTAATAAAGACTTCAGAATTATATTTCTCATATTATTATACCTGTATGGAATATTATTACTTAAAACAATTTTACTTCCCAACAAAAAACAATCTTCTAAAAGGTAAATAAAATGCCTAAGGCAAGATGATGCTTTTGTTTCTTAACTATTTTATTTTAGACTCATTATATTTATTGTTCCAGGCTCATATTTTTAGCAATATCATTGCTAACAATTCCTTTCCTTCCGGCTTCAAACATATTATTTCCAGTTGGTTTTGTAATAGCAGAAAGAATCTTATATTTACCTTCTGCTGGATACTGTTTACTTATAGCGATTGGTTTTCATAAAATTGTCAACAAGTATAAAAAATTAAAGGTCTGTATTGTTGGCTACATATAACTGTTTTATAATTTAAAAAAAACTTGTTCTGACCCCGCATGCTCCTGTTAGCTCTTGACGGCTTCCACGTAATGCTCGGACGGAAATAATTACCAATTTGTTCCACTCCTTTGCAGTATTTTGGTAAAGCAGGAGTTTTGCTATTATTATTATTATACCAACTTAAAACGTGGGAGAGAGCCTTTGATTGGCAGAATGAATATAATTTATTCATCAGTGGTTTAAAGGTTTGTCCGCTGAATGCCAAAGTTCGGTACAACGTCGCTAAAGTTGTTGACGCCCGCCAAAATACATCATGGGCAGTATCGGAATATAAAGAAGCTATTAGGTAAATATTAAAGGTAAAGATGTGGTGATGGCATTTTTTTATTGCAAACTTTTTATTATTTATTATAATATTTTCACCCGAGAATATAGAATCACGTTATTTATAAAATAGTTGTCATTCGCGACTTCGGCCTTGCGGAATTCAAAAAGAACTTAATTATTAGCCTTTGTGTTTGTCCAGACTATGTTTTACATCTTCCTGATGATATCTTCTAACAAACATGCATCCATCCATACATTCGCGATTTGCAATATGCAGGTCCTAGGTTCAATTCCCACCATGTACTAATGTGTTTTTCGATTTCTGATTTACATATGTACATTTATATGACGTTCTTACGGTGAAGGAAAACATCGTGATGCAACCTGCACATATCTGAGAAGAAATTCAAAGATATATGTGAAGTCAACCAACACGCACTTGGCCAGCGTGGTTGACTATGGCCTAGTCACCCGTGACTCAGGGTAGGCTCCGAGCCCCTCAGTAGGAACGTATAGTGAGCTGATGAAGTACTAGCGGTAGCTATATTTGTATGTACACTACGTATACTACTACTGATTTTGCGGTTTTATGAAAGAATAAGGCAAGAGTGTTTTGTGCAATTTTACTTCTTAATTTTTTTTATGTATTATATGTTCCGTGAAAATGAATGCTTAATTCTGTTGTTTCTTTCACAGATTATATCCTGAATATTATCAAGCAATGAATAATTTGGCTAATCTACTTAAAAATGAAAAGAATTTTTCTGGGGCAGAATTTTACTTCAAAAAAGCTATTAGCGTAAAGTGAGTAAAGAACTTACATCTTTAGAAAGAATTTACCAGTTATTCAACGGATTCCGGCCGCGCGGAATTAAAAAAAACATAATTAGTAGCCTATGTGTTCTTCCAGACTATGTTCTATATGTATGCAAAATTTTTCATTTTATCAAGATCCGTTGAGCCGGTATAGAAATACCTTTCATCTATCTATTTACCCGTTGCATTTATAATATTAGTAAGATTTTAATGGCATACTACTAAAGATAATTATTTTTTAATTTGTTATTTACAGACATGACTTTCCCGCGGCCTGGATGAACCTCGGCATTGTTCTCGCCAACCAGAAGCGTTATAAGGAATCTCTAGAGGCTTATAAAACAGCGCTACAGTATCGACAACACTATTCAGATTGCTTCTATAATATGGGAAATTTGGTAAACATTTATATTTCAACAACTCACGCTCTTAACCTACAGGTGTAGGCAGACATTACAGTTTCCAATTTGGTGGTACCGTCATACATCTCTCGCTTTATCCACATTAAAACATTCACGATTTCGGGTGCTATTGAAGTAAAATCACCCATCAACTGACGACGACACCTCGACAACTACGCGCCCTCAATCCGTGCAAGCGAGAATTGCTATATCTTTATCCGTATCACGTCCAGGTGGCGCCGAAATAACACCTCGGCTAACGCGAGGCGTGGCGGACCCGACTTGACGATTTTAGTTACGTGTTAACCTTTAAACTGAATTTTAAAACCTATAAACTCCTTAAGTATATCCGGTTTACATATAGTAATAATCTTATCTCAGATAAATATCATTGGTCCTATTAAAAAAAACTTATTTGGTAATAGCTTAGCCTATATGTTCTTCCAGACTATGTTCTACATCTATGCCAAATTTCAGCTCGATACGTTCAGCCGTTCTGGAGATACCTTTAAACAAAAATCCATACATCGATCCAAACTTTTACATTTATAATATTAGTAAGATTTGACAATGGGAAATTGCAGTAACAAATTTGTTGCACGAATGGACCGGCTCGCCCGGTGTAATACCATGATCACACAGACACGTCTAAAGTAGAAGCAATTCCGTGTGCAGCCTGGTGAAGGTGGTGCCGGAGGCCTAATTTTAGTCCACTTTACCACATCCTTTTCTTAGGAGGAAAAGATGGTAAGGGGATTTCGAGGGGAGGTGACTCATAGAAAGGGCAAAAATTCTGTTTCTGTGCGTCCCTCCTGTCGATAAAGCTAAGCAACGCATCTGCAATTGCTTATGTCTATGGGCAGCGATCTCTTCGCTATTTAGGCGAATTCAGATGGCCGCTTGCTGGTTAGCAACCTTATAATATAAAAATATAATGTTAGATAAGTACTTAAAAAGTTAATAAAGGCTATCAAATATGGAATTTGACGTTCATCTGTTTACTTTGTACCGTTAGATTGATTTAGTTTGTTTAAATATACTTTGACTTTATTTTAAAATTACGTATTATTATTACAGTACTTGGAATTAAATGACACGGACGCAGCGAGACACAGCTGGTCCACCGCTATTAGTTACAATCCAAAACACACATTCGCATGGACTAATCTAATTGCTATGCTTGATAACATGGGTAATAGTTCGATTTGTTTTATTTGTATTCCGATAAAAATATTACTTTCCAAAATTTTAACAGCAGCAGCTTACCCTAATATAAGTAAATGGGCGGTTAGAGTTTTAAATCATTCTGACACATTATAAGACTTATATCTCGATGTTCATCTGAAATAGCTAACAGACCCTAACACGAAGCGGAGAGGATATCAGATTTTTATCGCAAATAAAATTGACCTTTATTTGATTGTAATAAGGTATAATTTACGCTTGTTTTTGATGAGTAAAAACGTGAAAAGTAAAATTAAAATAGTTTCCATCATATAAAGCATTATGTAATTTGCTGCTAAAAATTTGCTCTCCACCCGGTCTGTCTGAATGGTCCCTTACAGTGGCCAGTTCTATTAAGATTCAGTGCATAGAGCACTGGAGGTAAATCAAAAATATTCAAAACATATTTGTTTTTAAATTAATAAATTGAGATTTAGTGATTAAGTGACTTTGCCAATAGTAGATTGATTTATATTAAACTAATTTTAGGACAAACTGAACGAGCTTTGCAGGTAATACCCGAAGCACTCTATCAGTTACCGAAGACCCCTTCATTATTATTTGCCGTAGCTAACTTATACGGTAAGACAAATCAGTTTACGGAAGCCGAAAATCTTTTTAAAAGTGCAATCAAACTATTCGGTGAAGAAGTTAAGGCTATCCACTATGCCAATCTTGGTAAGAAAACTCTCAGTAGTTAATTAATCATTAAGGAAGACTTGAATTAACTACTTTTGATTATTTTTATTTTCAGGTGTTTTATATCATCGTTGGAAAAAATATGACTTGGCCAAAAAAATGTACAACCAAGCACTTCAAATTGATCCTACATATATGAGTGCTAAAAAGAATCTTGCACTACTGCAAAATTAAGAATAAATTATTATTAATCTCCCGAGATATTTTATTTAGACAATGACAGTACCGCGTTAACTCGTTAGTAGTACAATTATGTTATAATTATAATATTTATGATATTGGAATATCTGTATGTAATATCTACAAAAAATAATATAAAAACCGATTTTTTAAATTTTGGCCTGTATGTCTGTCTGGAAGTAATATCTGGAACGGTTGGACCGATTTAAACGGATATGAAGCCGATGCACGTAGGCAATATATAAACTATTTGTATTTAATTCTGAAGAAGTAGTGATTAATAAATCACCGTGTGATTTCTGACAAAAGTCGAAAGTACATTATCCTTAAATTTGAAATGTATTATGCACGTAACATTAAATAAATTTTAAAGTTACCTAGAAATCAAAAGATTTAGCTGTGGAAATAAAAAAAAAATGTTTGTCAAATTATTGTTACTATTTGTTCCATCTCATTTTTTCCACTTTGTTTCTTTGTCGCTTCCTCTAATAGACCTACTTCCTACTTCTAATTTCAATACATAGATATTTCGGAGCACACTATATACAAATAACCAGTAACTAGTAACCACGTCAAAAACTTTATTAAAAAAAATGTTAGCTCTTTGACTGATAGAAAAAGAATTGTCAAATGTCAATGGACTTAGGGTACAATTTTAAATTTCAAAATACATATTTCAAATCAGCGTAACGCTAGATGTCTGTTAAGAATTGTAAAATAATAAAAAGAAATTAAAATGAATTTTTCTCCGGAACTAACTGCTCTACAAGGAGTAATGCTGTCAGCGGATAATATTAATTCGTTTTCTAAGCTGACTGCGAAAGGAGGTATGATGTGAAACATCTATGAACTATAACTTAATTTTAATCCTAAACTTGCTTATTCCATATAGTTTTTAATAATAATTATGGTCATTTAACTTTAAACGTAATCATTTATTCCAGGGTATGAGGATGAAATTGAAGAAGTTGTAACAACAATAAAGGAATTTTTATGGAAAGAAAAATATGCAAATGAGTATTCATTAGTAGAAAGTACCATTAGTATTTCACGAAAATTTGCATTTTATATAATACTCAATACTGATCTACGAATATTGGAAAGCATGGTAGAAATAGATGGTATAGATTTCCTCATTTGGACTGTACCTACTGTGCCCAAGTGTTTGATGTGTGAGATGTTCTGGAAATTGTATATGGATAGATTTGTTAGTGAAATTATTGCATTCTGCTGTCCTAAACTTAGTATAGAAGTTGCTGAAGCATTTACAAATCATATGAAATATCTTAATCCAACAGAAAGTGCTGATAAAGTTAAACTCGTAACAGCAGCATGCTACAAACTTATATGCAGGCTTAACTTTTTTAATATTGATGAAAGATTATTGAATTCTCTTTTGACCATTTTCCAAAAGTGTGTAAAATATTTTTCTAATCCTCCTAATCTAGGAAAACTAGAAGGACTAAGGCGAAATCAGTTTTACAAATACTTGGGGGAGAGCCTCTATAAACTATTACTTTTGCTCCATGAGTGTTTAGAAGAGTTTAATGGTGTCCAAAAATTTAATTTAAGAGAAGAAGTTCACATTTACATGCTTACTTATAATGATGAAATAGTGGTTAATAAGCAAGATGTTAAAACTCTTGAGAGTAGTAACATGATATTAGAGTGCCTGCATAAGTGTCATGAAGCATTGATGGAAAGTCTGCAAGAGCTTGTAATGGGTGTTAGTGTTGATGTGTTTTGTACATGGAGCGAATTTGAAGAAAATGGCAAAACCATGCAACAGACAATAGGAGAGTTTTCATACAAATTGCGTCCCAAGCTAGAGAGTGTAGTGGATCATCCAGTGGTTCAAATGTTGGAACAGATTTCTTGTAAACCTGTGGAAGTTGAAGATGTTATAAACACAACCAACTCAGAAGATATCATTGAAAATATTAACACTCATGATAGAGGTTTGTGGCTTCAAGCATTACTGAAAAAAGAAAATTTATGTAAAGATTTATCATTGGTACAAACTCTTGTTTCTAATCTGGATATACTTAAGGAAGATGATTTTGATAAGTTATACAAAATATGCATTGAACACATCAATAATTCTACAGAAAATATGGAAGAAGTTAAGCTGCTAGCTATCAAAACATTTCAATATTGTAATGTTATTTCTAAATATAATATAATCGACAACACTTTTATAGACAATTGCTTCACTGACAAAATGGAAACTACAGAATTTAATGAAATGACTATAAAAATATTTAATAAACTTATTGCAGCACCAGATACAGATTTAACTGATATTTTAACTGTCTTTATTCAAAATCCAAAAAAGATATTTCATAAAATATTCATATTGGCTACAGAAAATGCACAACAGAGTGAAATAATGGGCCGGATTTTGATACATTTGGAAAAATATATCAACTTTTATTACAATCAAGACACAGATGCATGTGTTATAAATATCTTCAAAGATGTTATAGTAAGAGAATTGGACAGTGAAGCAAAACAAAATAATTTTATTAATTTTGTCAGTTGTGTTAAGAAAAATAATATTATTTCTGGAGTCAAACTTCTCCTTTTGGTTGTTATGCCTAATTTGCATGATGCATTATTGTTAAGAAGACATGCTCAAATTTATATTGCACTAAAAATGCTCTCCATGGTCTACACATTAGATGAATTGTTGGAATACAGAGCACCAATGCTAGCAATGATAGCGCAAGCATTAGATGTTGAGCGCTGGAAAATGCATACTTTTGATAATATTTGTCCTTCATGTGTAGAATTGGCAATCAAATTGCAAACATCTTTAATGGAAACTTACCAAAACGTTATACCTGGTTAGAATCTTATTCTAATTTCATGACTATCATATTAAGTTTTTAATTGTTTTCTGTGTGCAAAATTGTTTATGTCTAAATGTTTCATTGTTTACAGAAAAAGAAAGTTTGTGGTTAAAAAGTAAACTGAAAGATAAAAACCCAATGAACATGTACTATTACAGAACATTATGGGATACTTCTGGTGAAAATTACTTAGAAATTTTAACAGGCATAAAAGTGCATGAAGCAGTAGACATAGAAAACTTAACATTCTCCTTGTCACAAGTAAGTTTTCATAATACTTTACCATATCAGTGTATCCAATTCATTCAGAATCACACTAATGTGACCCGGAGGTTTTGTTAACTAGTATTTTAGAATTATAAGTAGACACAGAACATTGAATATGAAATTCGAAATTCAAAATCACGGAATTGAATACAGGCCAAAGATTAAAACTCATCTCACATATGAAAATAAAAAAATTTAGATAAAGGAAAAGAGAAATTCTTACTAAATACTATATATGCATAATTCTTTTGCAGATTCTTTGTTTTACAATTGCTGATGAATGGTATCAATTATGGGAAAGTTTGTCAACACTGAACAATACAATGAAATTAGATATTTTCCATAAGTCATTATTAATGATCTCAACAGCTGAGAAAGGTCATCGTACGGTATCAACTTGGGCATGTTTACTACATTGTTTTAGAAATTTCCTTCTCTTGATTAGGGTATGTATTTTTATATTTATATTAAAGACTAGCTGTCGCCCGCGAGTTTGTCCTCGCGGAATTAAGAAAAAACTCAATTAGTAGCCTATGTGATCTGTTCAGCCATTCTAGAGATACCTTCAAATAAGCATCCATCCTTTACAATATTAGTATGATTTAATAACATTCTGTGAAAATGAAATGGAGCAAATGGTGTGTTTGTATCTTGACAAACATGGTAAATTTTAAATCTAAATTAATGTTATATTTTGAAAATTTAATTCTTAAATACATTTAATTAAATCAAGAAAATTACCTTTGTAAAATAACCATATTTGAATGCTAAAGTTGTCATATTAAAATGCCAAGCTACTGGTATATCAAGCAACCATAGGTTGGTAGCTTTTATGTAATGAAATTGAATTTGGATGGCTACAAACGTAGAGGAAGACTAAAGAAAGTATGGATGGATTGTGTGCAAGAGGATATGTGTAAGAAAGGGGTTAATTCACATATTACGGCTGGTAGTACATACTGTGCCATCCCTCAGTAGGGATAAGCGCAGGTTGAGGAGATAAGTTGATAGCTCCATATACCAGATTATACTTAATTTCATACAAACTTCAAACTAATTATTATTTCATTTCAGTATAAATATATCCACGAACCAGTGAGTGAAAACCAAGTGGTTACAATCATTAACAAACTTGCAAGCTTTGCGAATTTATTACAAGAGTCAGAAACAGAAGAATACAATTCAATGTCATTACCACTCTTGGCTTATGTCGCAGAAGTGACAAAGGATCGCATGTTTGATGTACCAACTGGTGACATTAAAAACCAAATGTTTGCTGACCTTATACAAAAACTATTCTCAAATTACACTGTTTAATAATTAAAGATACATAAAAATCTTTATAAAATATTAGTATGTTCTTTAGCCCGTGACTCCATACGCGCGGAATTAATAAAAACATAATTAGTGGCCTATGTGTTCTTTCAGACTATGTTCTATATGTATGCTAAATTTCATCGAGATCCTTTCAGATGTTCTAGAGATACCTTAAACAATCATTCATCCATCCATCTAAACATTCTCATTTAGAATTCTAGTGAGACGCCAGCAAAAACATCAGTTGTCAAGTTCTTATTAGTATCAGTTTCACCCTTTATTATTTCTTATAAGGAAAAGATAAGAAGGGGAAGTGGTTTGATGGAGTACGGGATGCATAGTAAGGGGAAATATTATCTATCTGTGCGTCTCTTCCATAGTCTAATAAAGGTAGGCAATTGTCGCTTCGCCATTTCGGCGAGTTAGTAGCCGCTTGCTCGATTGTCGCCTTATAATTTTTGTAAAAAAACATATTTCCTATTATAAATTTTTTTTATGTAAATGTCCATACAAAGATACAGAAAATCAAAAATAAAAAGAATGAGAAAAAAACTGGTTTTATACGAGTTTCTTTATATTACCCCATTTGACAAATATTTGTCAGTAGAAAAAATCTGGCATTTGAAGTCAAAATGGTTTTAACCTTAATTTGTAATTTATGTGGTTGTGATGAAACAAAAGAAACATTTGATGAAGATGATTTTCCTAGTTCCGAACAAATATGGGGCATGTTGGGGGTCTTGTTGGCGACTGTGGGGTATTGGCTTGTGTTCACTATAAGGTAAATAATGCTACAAATAATAACTAAGTTTAAAATGTGCATTACTCATTTCTTGTTTAATCTCCCCACACTGATCTCACCCAGTACTTTGAATTTCATTTGGGAATTCAAATACTTTATTTGCTGATATATAAATAATTTTTATGTTTTTTTCTCACACGAAATATTTGTGCAAACTAAATAAAATACAGGTCTATAAAATAATTTCTTTAATTAAAATATAATTTTCTAATATGGCAATTTGTATATAAAATTATATATTGATCCCATCCATGCACCTTTAGTAAAATATAAACGATTAATAAAATCAAAAAATCGATTTAACATTAAAAATCAGTTCAAAACTTAAAATGTATTATTTAAGAAACAAACTTTTTCTTCAGGTAAAAATTTTGCAGTATCCTGAAGCATGTACTTGTGTTGGTCCTCCACGCGACCTTTCTTCAGAAGGTAGACCAAAATAAATTGATACGGAAAAACAGGTACATTATGGTGGAAGAAAAAGCGAAGTTTTACTCTTTCTATTATTTTCATATCGACAAAACAGAAATCGGCGGAACAACAGCTGCCTGGGGTTCTGGAAAAAAATCTTTCATTTAGCAAAAATTCCGATAACCACCAACTTTGTTACTATTATATAAACTTGGTAATAGAATATTTTAAGCCCAAATAATAATCAGTTCATTTCTAAGTACGGCTCAAACTAAGATAAATAGAGCTTTTATAATACTCAAAGAATAATGAATACAGGTAAGATGCAGATGTGTCATTTCTTACAAAAAATATCGAAGCGCGGGTAGAATAATTATTATATAATAAAAGAAAAAGCTAAGGTATAGTTTAGTTTTCCGCAACTTACAGCGAAAATATATTTTACGTGCGGGTAGGGTACATTTTGTCAAGTCAGTACTCCAAAAACCCCAGAAGTGTCTTAATGTTTATTTTAAATAAAATTAGTCTTAATTATAAATGAAAAGTTACCTTGGATCATATGTCAAAGTTTTCGCTTTTAGGGACTTGAAGATCATCTGGTAATATTGTCTATATTTTTTCCTCATTATAAGGACAATTTGTTTTCCTTCAAAAGGATACTTAGCGCCCAAAGCTTGTAATTCTAGATGCCAGTACACCGCAGCCTTGGCCACTTCCACGTTTGTGGCGTCCAACTCTACTATTTTAGGATGTTTTAACCATTCATACATATCTTCCTAAAATTTAAGATAATTTTCGTAACATATATACTAAAATATATAAAGACCAAACAGTTGAAGTGTTGAGTGCAGATTTAAACCTTCTACCAAACCACACATAAGACAGGCGTGTAGTGGAAGAAATTCCACGTTTTGTCTGATGAGTGTGGTACCGGAAGCCTAATTGTAGTGTTCTTTCCGTTCCCACCCTTATTCTTATAAGAGAAGGGAAGTGGAAGTAGATTTTCTGGATGAGCGGATGCGTGGGAAGGGAAAATTTTCCCTTTCTACAAATCCCCTTTTCCGTCTAAGGTAGGCAACTCATCTGCAATTGCGGATGTCTATGAGCAACAGTCGCTTCGCTATTTCAGCGATTTCAGGTAACCGCTCGCTCGTTTGCCACAAATATGATACAAAAACAAATACAAGTAAAATTCTATAACAGGGTAAAAACTTTTACTTACACGTAGGAATTTCTTGCAACGGAAACTGTCATATATGAAACTAACATGAAGCAACCATTTACCAGTGGCAAGGGAACACACCATCATTCCAGTAAATGTATCATTGGGCAAAATTGAAATAAAATGTGTTGCCATCATCTCCATTTTTGTATTCTCTGCTACTACTCCACCTAATTCGTTGATCATCGCAACGATTCGATCACGATCCTGTATACATAAATAGAAAATATAAACATCCTTTTGCAGAGACAGAAAAACAATGTTTTTATACAGGTTTTTAGCAGTAAAAGATCTCTTTGGATTTTTTTATATTTATATAAATACTATTAGGAAAATCCGACACTGTGTACTGTGTGACGGTGTAAAGCGCAACACTAGCCTTACTTGTCGACGTTTATGTCCCCTCACTATGCATCCTGACACTTGTCTTTGTAATAAAGCGCGCCATTCTCGCCAAAAAATAATGTCAAAAAATACTTACATGTATAAGTTCAGACAACATAAACACTTTTTTGTCGCAGGCACAAATCAAGTTCTGTTTCATTTTCCATGAGTCTTCAGAAGTACCACTTGGAGAATTATAGTCACTATCTGAAATTTACATTATGATTTTTACTGATATAAAACTTACCATTTCTCTTCTAGTTTATATAACTAGTTTATAAATGTGGAAAAGAGATTTAGGTGAAGATATTTAATTGTTGCTTTGTAATAAAAATTAACCATAGAGATCATAAAATCACCTAAATAGTTTGTAAAATAAGGGGTTTTCATTGCAAAGTATTTATGCTAAACATGTTGTACCATTCTTTCTGAAAAATCAGAGAGAACACGAACAGATGTTTTTACAGTTCCATACTTTGAAAGAATAAAATGTAACCCTTGTAGAATCACTATCTTGTTCGTCCGTTTGGCGATCTATCAAGATCTTATTTTGGTGGTAGAATATCTCAATCGTAATTAAATATTTGTAGTAATTTTAAACTTGTATTATAATATATGTATTTACAATATAAAATAAAATTTACCAGAAGTTGCTTCAGGTAATGTGGCCTTTATTGTGCTTGTGACTGATTTAGAGTTGATAGGAGCATAGTTATTTGATTTCTTTTTTAGCCTATAATTCTCAATGTATTTACGAAATGGAAAGTAGTTTGATGTTTTTGCTTTGCTTGTTTCAATCCAATTACGGAATGTTACCTTTTTTGGAGTGCTATGCTTGCTTGATGTTCTGAAACACAAATGTCTGAGCTTTTGTACACTTCACTGACAAAGTTTGATCCTGTATTTTAAAGTGATTAGTAAATGCAGAAAGTAAATTGTCTCAGCGCAAGCAAAATGATAGTTTGAATAAATATAACTAATGAAGCAGTAATTAAGTACCTATAGCATTATTTTACATTTGGTATTTGTCTTGTTAGTAAAAGCACCCCAAGAAGTGATAATGCAATCTTGACTCCAGCCATGCCAAAACTGTATTTAAACTCACTCGCTCCCTATTTTTGAAAGAAAAGATTTAAATGGACTGGATTTTGGTGTTTCTTTGTCTTCTACTCTTTTGCATTCAATTTCTTGATAAATGTCTTCGATTGACCACCCAATTTGGCGACGCACAACTTTTGGCTTTCTGGTCTTTTCTAATATTGGAACAGAATCTACACAGTCCTCTCCACTATCATATGTTGATCTTACAACATTAAAATGAGCATCTTTCAAATGTTTCAAATAAACCAACTTTTCTGTGTGAATTTCATGGCACAATGGACATACATAATGCTGTAATTTTACATTTGTTGTGCATCTATTAATATGAATAACATAATCATCATAATTATCATATTTCTCTTCACAGAGTACACATTGTATGTTAACATGTGTTGGCTGATTTTTGGAATGTGTACTTTTGTCAGGTGTAAAGTATAGACTGCTATCAGTAGCAACAAGTGTCTCATCGCTGCCAGACCCAATCTCAGAACCAGTGCCTGATCGCTGCAATTCATTTTGTTCAATCGTACAAGTCACATTGCAAGTGTGTGCTCCAAAGTGGTTGTATGATTGATTACAATATACACACTTCACTGAGTCCACATCACTGTCAGTTTCATCACTGGTTTCATCAATTGTCTTCAAATGGGCATCAAAGTTATAGTCTCTAACATTATGTTGATTATTTCCACCTTCAACTAAGCCATTATCAGAATGTATATGAAATTCTTGATTGTAAAAGTCACCGAAGTTTGTAGAGATAGGCTTTTCCATTTGTTCTTCTAAAATAAAGGAAAAGATAATAAAGTTCATACAGTGAAGATAATAAAATTACAAAATTATAAAATGAATTAAAGCAACTGTTTATTAATACATACCAGGACATTTATGAAGTAAAGTATTTGTTCTTTCACATTGTAGCTTAAACAAATAAGCGGTGCTTAAATTTTCCACACAAGTTGTACATACTCTGTCTGATAATCCATCACCTTCATGTATCTAAAACAAAATATATTTAACTACAAAGTCAAATAACACAAGTCTAACAGCATGTTTATGTGAAACTTGTTTCACAACATTTTCTCTAAAATGGCAAAATGGTTTAATTGAAGTTTTTAATGCAAAGGAAACACACAGCCAAGCCAAGAAACAAACATTGTCAACACTTTCTATTGTTGACAAAATAAATAAGCATGCCTGTGTGACCACATATTGTACTATTGCATAGATTCAGCAAGTCAATGCAATCGATAACCTATTTCTAAGAAAGACTTCGTAATATTTTATAATTGTGATCGTTTTCATACGTTTGTTGCTAATTCTCTATTTACCTTATCAAATAACAAGGACGACGAACATACCTGAACATCAGCAAAAGCCATAACCATATCTGACAGTTTCATGATACCATCATTTTCAAAAATTGAACAAAACTCCCCAAGTTTTAAGCACAGCCTACATTTCTGGAATGTTTTAGTCATTTTATCTTACTTTCTAATCAATATTTGCAGCTTAGGTAATATTATTCATCAATCCTGTTTATAAACAAAAATAAAATAACGCATAACTTCTACATTTTTAAACCAACAACGACTATTAAATTGACATTGACGCTTAAGTTTAAAAAGACGCTCGACCCCTCGACACTATTGGCTGCTATTGGCCATCATGAAAATAGAAAATATATTTTTGACAAAGACAAACTGAGTCTATGGTATGAAACAAAAACCACGCCCAATTTTACACTTTTACTACGGCGTAGCATTTAGAAGTAAACTAGACACTTTTCCTCTACAATTTTATTCTGTAAACTCTCTATTCTCTCAAGTATTTTTACGTAGGAATTCGGACACAGTATTTTAAATTCTGCTTTTACACTTCGAGTTGAACGGAGTTGGTCGACTAGACAAAGAAACGATTTAACATATATTCTTCACTTGTACAAATAGAACTACATCTCTAATGGATATCCTTCTAAATTCCATTCCTCGTCCCATTAACTTTAAAACCCTCTTAACCTATGTAAATACCCCGTTTTATGTGATTACATTAACGAAGGGCAATGTGGTTTTGAAAAAAAAATAAGAGAAAAAGAAAATAGACACAAAGAAAATGCACTAAAAAGTAACAATATAATGTTATGAACACCCTTGAACCCTTGAAAGTAAGAAAGTTCACTTCTTTTTTGTAATCCTTCCTAATATTATAAATGCGAAAGTACTCAGTCTGTCTGTCCTTCGTCCACGCAAAAACTACTGAACTGATTTAAATGAAATTTGGTATACAGATAGTCTAAAGCCTGGCAAAGGACATTTGCTATTTTTTATCACTTACAAGGGTTGTAATGGGTTGAAAAGGAAGGTGTAAGTTTTTATGGGAATATCGTCAGTTTTTCACTTAGAAGCTTAAAAATATTTTTTAGGCTTTTGTTTGATATAACATTAAATTTTTGTAAACACTTTACCCTCAAAGTGTAAAATAACAATAGGGGATGAAAATTTTTATTAGAATATCTGAGGTTTATGTGAATGTTTTGTCAGTTTCCTTTTTTTTTGTTATGTTTTAAGTAAGTAGCCTACATAATTAAATGATACCTAAAGGCAGTATTTCACGCGGACGAAGTCGCGAGCACAGCTAGTATGTCTATATTGTACAAATGTTGTTATTTCGGAGTCGGTATCACAACTCACAACCAAAGAGTAGGTATATGAAGTAAATGCTCACAACCAACTGACAACCATCAAAAAATTAATTGTCAATGTCAAACTAATTATCTGTAATCAGACTATTGAAACAAAACAAATAAAACCTTTATACCTTTGTTACGAAAATGCATCATAAACTTCCCACAAATACAACATTGTACGGTAAATCTTTTCCATCATTTGAAGAACCAAAAATTATAGGGTATATTGGTTACGAAAATCTTATGTTTGCTAAAAGTGTAGAAAACAAACAAGTCAATTTAGATTTAAATTATTTGAGGGAAAAAACTGTGCTCAAGCCTCAAAACTTAGATGTTAAATTAGATGAGCTTTTAAAGTTTTTATTACAGAATGAAATACGGTTGAATCTATGCAAAAATTATGTGATAGATAATGCGAAGTTTATGTGCTATAGGGGATTAATGACTTGTATTGCATGTACTCCATATGAAAAAAAAGAAGGATGGAGACTGGTTGCAATTCTTTTTAAAGGCAACATTTATTTATGTAAAAGAGATACAGAAGAAAAGCGAATACAGAAACAGAATTTTACAAAAGAGGATCAAAAATTTACTTCGTGGGGATATAAATTTGAGCAATATATTTTATCAGGTAACTTTACAATTGTACTTTTTTAATTAAATGCTTACTAATACTGAAATTTGAAAAGTTTCATATCATGTTCTCAGCTTAAGGTACTCTGAAAATATAAATATCTGTCAAAAAATCTTATAGTCTAGAGCCTGTGCACATAGAGCCTGAGAAAGAATATAGGCTACTTTTGAGCGCGAAAAATGGGTTGTAAGGGGTTGAAAGTAGAGATGGAAATTTGTATGGAACTATAATCATTTTTGTTCACATTTAGAATCTTGAAACTTAATTTTTCCCTGTTAATATGATATAAATAATTTGACACAAAAAGTTTGTAACAATTTTACACTCATAAGTGCAAACTAATGATAGAATAACAAAAGTTTGTATGAGAATATATAAGGTTTATTTCATTTGTTTTGTTGTAATGTTTTATAAATTTAGGTAAAATAATTAGTCTAAATAGTTAAAATGCTACCTGACGACAGTATTTCACATGAACAAAGTCATGGGCACGGCTACTATGTTTGATGCAGTACATTAAAACAGTGGTAGCTTGACTGGTACCATACAATGGCCATACATAAGGCAGTTGTGAAGTAGAAGTGATTCCATTTGATGTTGTGCATGCTGGAGCGCTAATTTTAGTCCTCTTTACCCTCAACTTTCTTACAAAGCAGGGATGGAAGGGAAAGTTGATATGACTGAGAAGGGGATTCTCCTGATGATTAATGGTTGGCAGCTCATCTGCAAATGTCTATGGGCAGTGATTGCTTTGCTATCTTGGTGAATAAAAGTGGCCTTTTCATGATTTTCTATAAAAAAAAAGACTTCAATACTTGAGGGATAAGAAATAGAAAAAAAAATCTTAAAAACCCTTCTTTATTTCAGAAAGTCCTCATGCTGAGCCCAACCCTAATTTACCTCTTGATGAAAATAAAGAATTTTCCTTGGTATTTAAAACACATTTAAAGAAACATACTTTGATATATGGTGCGGAAATGGATGGAATTCGATGTGATAAAACTAGTGTAGAATCACCTCCGGACATAAATGATGATAAAGATGTTATTATAAACTACTTATCAAAGAACAAGTTTATAGAATTGAAAACTAACAGACATATTGAATTTTCGCGCCAGAAGAGAAACTTCAGGTAACTTTTACAAAGGTAAATTTATACATAAAGATGAATTATAATTTGCCTTTCTTTGAGAGTAAAAACATTTGACTTATTATATAAATTCATAAAGACAATTTGACCAAAACTAATATTTATGAATTGTTTTTATCATATTTAATTTATAAAAAAATAAACATTAAAGATAGCCACAGAGACAGATAAGGATTATTTTAGGGATTGTGATACAAAATTGCTAATTAATTATCTTTGCTGAACTTACATTGAAATGAGTGACAGTATATTTATTTTAAACCTAAGTGTATTAGCTAAAGAAACATAAGGTTCTAAACTGAGTACTTTAGTAAATACATTTATAATTTTTTGTTTGTGCATTTTATTTTTTGACTTCATATGACATTTTTGTATTATACTAAAAAGATATAAAAACTTTTAAAAATATATAATTGTAGAAATATATAAACTTATGCAAGTGATTGCAAACTTTTTTGACATATACATGTCTTAATCATTTAATTTTAATTATTATTTGTAAGGGCTATAATATATGTGTTTTTACTTAAAGTGGGCCATAATGTGGAATGTGAAGAATACTGTGTTTTATTTTTGTGCTAGAATTTGACTTTGTTGTTTTTTTTTGTATGGCTTATGTGTCTGAATTAAAAATTCATTTTCATTATTATTCATTGGGTGGAATATGTCTGACCCAACCTACATTTCGTAGTACGTTATATATTATATTAAAAATAAGCAATAACAAAATGGAATTCTTTGAATTCATGTATATTAAATATTTTATATACCTTATTTTTACAATTATCTTATTTCAAAGGCTTTTCAAAACAATAAAATGGTGGTGTCAGTCAATGTTTGCTGGTGTCAATACAATTCTATGTGGATTTAGAAATGACGATGGTGTTGTTGAAGAATTAAAAGTATATGAAGTAAATGGTCTACCAAAAATATCACGGGTAAGCAAATTGGACTTTGTCACCGTTTTGAAATTATGTGGTAGAGTGGTACTTAACAGTGATAGAGCCCGCTTTAACATCTTCGCACGAATTGACCCGGCTCGCCCGGTGAAATACCACGACCACACAGAAGACAGGCGTCAAGTGAAAGCAATTCCGCGTTTCGTCTGATGAGTGTGCGTCCTGGAGGCCTAATTTAGTCCTCTTTCCCTTCCCACCCTTTTTCTTATAAGGAAAGGATGGGAAGTGGAAGTGGACTTTCCGGATGAGAGGATGCATGGGAAGGGAAAATATTTCCTTTCTGTGCATCCTCTTCTCCGTCGATTAAAGTTAGGCAACGCATATGCAATTGCGTATGTCTATGGGCAACGGTCTCTTCGCTATTTCAGCGATTTCAAGTGGCCGCTTGCTCGTTTGCCACCTTATAATATAAAAAATATAATGTTTAATACTGCATGTAACTGAAATCTTTATTTGTTACTAGCTGTCGCCTGTGCCTCTGTCCGTGCGAATTAAAAAAAACATAATTAGTAGTCTATGTGTTCTTCCAGACTATGTTCTACACCTATGGCAAATTTCAGCGATGTCGATGCTGCCGTTCTGGATATATCTTAAAAAAAAACATCCATCCATCTAAATATTTGATTCGCATTTATAATATTATTAGTAAGAATTAGTAAGTGCATGTTTGCGTAGATGTATGAATGTAGAAGAAGCGAGAGAGGTGTGTCAGGACCGCGCTAAATGAAGGTCCATGGTCTCTTAAATAGTTGTCCTAAAAAAAATTATACCTAAGATAATATAAAACATTTAAAATGTGATTTTTTTTGCAGGGATTTTGGAATCCAAATGTTTGTTTCGATTTTTTAGAAACATTTTTGACATATGTTAAAGAATGTTTAACAACAGAAATACGAAATAAATACGGAGAGAGGGCATTAAATAAAATACATGCTCTCCCCTTGATAAGCTTGCATTTTGAATGGTATCCCGGTTCACCAGTTCGTGTGACAGACAATTATGTACATGAAGATGATCCAATATTGCCCACTTGGTTTACAGAAAACTTTATGGCCTTTAGATGCGACGAGTGAATGACCATTCTTTGAACTTTATTTTAAGATATACTGTAATTTAATAATAAAAGTAAATATTTTTATGTTTTATATTGGTTACTTTATGATATATTAATTAATTTGAGCAATTCTTCTCTGTTATATTTATGTTTGAAGTATTTTAAATATCGATTGACTATCTTGACTTAGTATGTAAGTGGTAATGATTACTTTATAGAAATATTTTGATAAAAGTGTTGTGTTATTTTATATAGAAAATATACATTATATATTTCAATAATTGTTGTTTTATTCCGATACCAGTTCTTATGGCCCGGTTTTGTAATATGCGTTCGAAGAACCTAATAAGTGCTCTATAACCCATGACCACCACATCATTTCGACTGACAAAATTTTTAACATGACATGACAATGACAAAGTGGTTGCCCAATGTTTTAAATTCGATTATACACCGTAACGAAAAGATTTATTTAGCTTTAATTAAAAAAAAATGCAGTTGTTATCCATTACATATTAGTAAGATAGATAGATATCATCATCATCAGCTCACTATACGTCCCCACCGAGGGGCTCGGAGCCTACCCTAGGTTAAGGGTGATTAGGCCATAGTCAAGAAGATGGAGTGATTAGGCCATAGTTAAGATAGATATATATTATAGATATAAATTGCGATAGACAAATCTATTGCCAACAGATCGATGCTAATCTTTGTTTCCTGGGTTTAAATAATAAAATGATAAGACAATTACTATCATACCATTTATTATCACTGCATAGCAAATGGTGTAAATCAACATCCATAAGACTAATCAACAACATGGATATTTTTTTACTTAAAATATAATAATTAAATCTATTTTTATTGTAATACATTTAAAAAAGAAAAAAAAAACAATAATATTAACGGAACAACATAATTGTTTTTAAAATGTACAATGTCATGAAATCATATATCTATCAAATTAAAAAAGAATATTTACATAACAGTTTTTTTTCAATCTCCATCATATGACTGATAATTGTATTCAATATAAACATTATCTGTGTTATTGTTTCGTTACAAAATCTGACAAAACTTGAGTCTGCTTTTTTCATGTTAAAGATTTCCTAACTAGTCCAGGTTAAAAAACATTTATATACTTAAATCTATTGATACCAGGCATCGTAACAATAAAATTCACTTAAAAATTATAGTTTATACAACAAAGAAAATAACAAAGTACTGGTTTATTATTATTCATACATAGTATGGCTATTTTACATAGAAACCGTTGTCTTTAAGACACGACGTATTAAAAGTAAAAATAAAAATATAAACATTATAATAAAAAATATTTCCACTGTTCATTTTGAACAGTAAATATAAACAAATTCTAGAATGTAAAATACAAAAAATGAAAGCATCGCTTAGCAAATTTCATGATCATATCAAACAATTATATTAAAAAAAAATTAACGCGAAATATTTTTAATGAATACGTATTAACGCAGAAAAACTTCATCCAACCGTGATTCTGAAGTGGACATTTTCGGTCTTTTTAGGGTTCCGTACGTCGAAAGGAAGAAAAACAGAACCCTTATAGCATCATTTTGTTTATTTAAAATGAACGCTAATAGAAATACACTGAAACAAGCTAAAAGTAATTCCATTGATCTAAATAATTCTCACATCGATTATGAAACTATACATCTATAATTTTCTCATCTTAACTAGAAAACATTCACACCAAGAACATTTAGAGACTAAAGGATGCATTGCTAAAATTATATATTAAGTGATTTCAAATTCAAACACGATACAATATCGTATGAATATTTGTTATTACTTTGCGAACACACACATAAAAATTGTGTACGCAAAATTATTTGTGACAAAATTAAAAAAAAAAATAAGGAAAAGTCTATTTATTACTAGCGATCTAAATGTTTTAAGTTTGTGGTGAGAAATCAACAGATTAGATAATTACATAAAATGATGAATTTTTAGGCCTAGTATTATTTTATGTGTGATATATTTCGTATTAATTAATGAAATATTTTGTTGTAATTGTACAAAATTAGACGTATGATGGATGTTACGATGATGTTCATTTTATTATTTATTATGATATAATATGGAATACAAAAAAAATATATATTTACACTAATAACTATAACAATGTACATTTATAATAATTAGGTACAAATGTTTTGGTTGGTCGCACCAAATTGCAAAAAATGTACCGCTTTACGGATCGACTGTTACCACCACGTGACCTATCTTTTCAAAATTATATTAACATCGCGGTGAAAATATCTACAAACTTTATAACAGTCTTCTGTTTCACTTATATAAATGTATGCAATATCCCTGTCAAGTCAATGTGTTTTGTACTAGTGCTTACAATCCTTATAACCGTTTTAAAGGTTAGGGAACATACCCATACTACGTGACCTATTTTTTAGTTTTTTACTCCTCCCTCCCCTCGGTGACCACTCGTAGTACATGCCAAGACCCTCCCATCTTTAGTTTTTACGTAGTAATTCATAATTATGGTTTTTAATCATTTCGCAAACATGAAAGAAAAAAATGGCTCATACTCGTCTTTATTGCATAAGACTGCATGCATACTTAAATTACTAGTGAATGACAAAAATCTGAGCCACACCCCCGCTCCTGTGACTCACCGTAGTATTTTAAGGAGCCCCTCTCCCAAACGGGTCACGTAATATGGGTACGTTCCCTTAACAACAGAATATTTAGGCACGTGCCACACGAATTGATTATGTGAAACATTCGACATTAACATAAGAATAATCAAAGAAGCATTAGTATAATAATACAATATTATCATAAAAAAAATTATAAAAAAAGGCTATTTGGGACCAAAAATTAAAAAAAAAAAATTATACGCCCTTCGCAGTTATTTTGTTGTAAGAAGCGTGCCCGTGACGGATGGCAATATTGGAATTATGTACTTTGTTTTTAAGGAGGTTTGCAGACACCAATACAAACAAGCAGCAAATAAACTAGCCGATTGTGATTCTAACTTAAAAAAAAACAGGCTTAGCAAATGAAAGGAAGGAGGTAAACGTAGATTGAAATTGAAATATAGGCTTTGTAGTATTAAAAAATATTGGTCATATAATATATATAGTCAACTTAATACACCTTCTAAATCTATGGACAATGTTAATATGTATTTTGATACCTTCTTTTAGTCTGCACTGTACTAAGCTTTAATTTTCCAGTTAATTTTCCTTATGATTGAAATTTATTCCAAAGATGTAAGTATTATTATTGTGTATATTTTATTTTATTCTTTTTATGAGCACTGTATAGATATTTTGTTACAAGCAATTCTTTTTAGTTATATGAAAATTCCAAAATGCAGTTAACAAGTGAATTTGCATAATTTATGACATTAAATACGCAAACATAAATTGCACTTGGAAAGAGACAATCAGGTATTTTTGGTTTCGTAGAGCGTTGTCTCTTTCGCACAAACGACCGGTTGCTTAGGTTAGACAAAGATGAAATTAGTAGATTGCTTCCTTCCTAATAGTCGAAGTAAAAGATAATATTTATATCGTGTACCGAAGTTGATTATTTAAAAATTTAAATATTTTAATCTTTTATTATTTTATCCACGTAACAAATAAATTACAAATGTGCGATCGACAATATTTATAATTTTAATATAGAAATTGTAATATTGAAATTAGATACAATATTCACTTGACAGTTTAGGGACAGATTTTTTTTTAACTTCTTTGGATTTCATTTAAATGGCTTCAGTTTTTGAGTTAAAACATAAATCGTCTTAGGTCGGCCTGGTAATGGTATCTAAGATTTAATTCAAACGAATTAAATGGATAATTTAAATGGTTTCCATCGTCAATTGATAAGCTCCCTGCAACCATTATAACGGCACATTTTAAATATTCATACTACATTAAATGTAGTAATTGTAAATTTAGTATATAAGAGTAAAACTCCTATTCGATAATAAAATATATTAAATCTTTGTGCTAACTTACAATAAATTCATTTATAATAAACTATATACTATGTATATCTTAAAAACCAATTATGATTACTGAGCGCGCTTGGCACGCCGGGTTGGTCTGTTCTATACCAGAGTACTACATAGCTTCAGCTACATCCTCAACAACTTGATGGAATTCTCTTCTTATGTATTATTAGACAATTAAAATTGATTGCATCACCCTATATATAAAGTACATATCAAAATTTCGATGTCATTCAATTTAATGAATATATATTGTCATGAAGTACATATCGGCATTAGATATCATAACATTTTCACACAAATTCTATCTCATACAACATTTCAAAATACATAAAATTGACGAAGAAATTGAATTAAATAAGACACAAAAGTCACAATATGTAAAATTTCTATGGCTTTATCATTAAATAAAATAATCCTCTAGTATGTTGTATGATGACATCGACCATTTAACAGGTTTCATAGTAATCAGTTATCACAATAATATGGTGCATCTTATTGACTCGGATATCAGAGAGTGTGCGATCCATATTTTACATTTAAACTATGATACACAAATTTACAAATAAATGTCGACCTTCACTGAAGGCATAAAAATAATATTGTACTTTAAAAAGACATCAATGATTCTGTACAAATTGAAACATAATGTTAATAAGTTCCACTAGAGGTCAACGTATGGAGTCCCGTCCATTTTATCGAGGTCCGCCAACAAATCTGACGAAGTCAGTGGCGCTAATATATCTTCCCGTAGCATATCTAAAGGTGATGAAAGACCCTGATCATTGTCTACCATATTTTGAATTTGAGTCGTGCCACACACTTCAACGGAATTACCATTGATAAGAAAATCTCTGTTACTGTAACTAAACACGCTCCTGTCTTCCGCGAGCTGCGGAGTCGATGGTACGGACTTTGATGATATGCCGTTCGATGCATTGGAATAATTGTCTGTTGCGAATAATTCCCTCGAACGCCGCGAATCGATCTGCAGGTTGGGCGCAGTGCGTTTGTACGGCAACGGCGTACTCGGCACCGACCGTGACGTGTAGTACTTGCTTTTATCCGGTACGAGGTCCGATAGGTCTAATTCGATACTGTTGGTCCTTTTCAAAAACTCCTCCACATTATCTGTCCCGGCATCTTCGTTACCAAAAGAGTGATTAAATTGGCTATTCCTGTCTAGCAATTCATTGGCGGTAGGAATAAATGGATTTAATTGTTCGTCAGTTAAAATTTGTTGTTCGGGTATAGCATCGCAACCATTGGTTAACGCATTGTTAGCATTCAAAAGATTCGGTGCGGCACCCGTGTTAAGTACATCATTACTGCTATCTATCGCGTCATAAATCTTGTCTAGTGTTTCTGGATTAAGACCGGCCTTCGATATGTCGCAGGTATCAGCAAGCGACCCGAAATCGCTAAATTCGTTCGGTACCGGTGTGGGAGGAACGGAACCCACAGGAGTGTTATTGTAACTCAAAAGGCCGATATTGTTCATACCGGGCTTTAATGGTACTGATTGTGATCTATACGAAGTGTCGAGACCCAATCCATAACTCACTGGCTCTTGAAAGAATTGACTCACTTCTCGTGATAAAGGATCAGCAGACAACGGTTGAGCCAAATCTCCGTTTACATTTTCCCGAAACAATGAGTTGGGAACAAAATTTAAGCACACGTGGTTTGTACCATTTTGCATAAACGGAGTATTTTGAAGCATTTGATTTTTATATTGAGTGATTATATTTGGCGATGGCGGAGCTGACATAGGTTGGCAATATTTGATAGAATTGCAAACTGATGATTTAGAGATAAACTTTTGGTCATTGGGCACCGCAAACTGTTTAGGACCCGAATCGTTCATGCCGAGAGATAATGGATTTCGCCGTCTCCTTCCATTTAATTTAGGCGTTGGACGAGAACAAAGTCGTGATCTAGGCACCGGCGTATTCCTAGGACTTACAAACGGACTAGCGGCAGTACTGTGCGAAATCGGAGAGGTTTGAAGAGACCCGCCCATTATAACAGATTTGTTCATCTTTGTAGGACTGTGTCCTCTATCGTTAAATCCTAGTGGGGATTTACAATGAAAATTACCAGGAGAATGACATGCATCCGATATAGGGACAAATTCATACTGCTGCGTTCTAGTCGTAGGACTCTGCGGTTCATGGCAGCTGCCGTTATACAGGTGAGTACCACCTGCCATGTTTGTTATCAATTGATTCGGCGCGTCAGTTCCTAAAGGAGCACAAGAACTATTTCCATTAGGGTTAGAGTTACACTGTTTGTTATCATTATTCATTTCTCCCGGGTCTGATAAAGTTGTGCCATTCATCAGATCCACTACGTTTGCTCCTAAGACAGGTTTGAAAGCTCCTTCGGCTACTAATGTATTAGATTTATCTGTCATCTCTTGAGACGTTTCTAATGGCACATGAACATCTTGATTTATTGCAACGCTTTGTGACCCATTTTGACTTTTTAAATTCTTAGCTAGTAACTCACGCAACTGTGATAATTTTTCATTTTTTCCTTGGCTGTGTTCGTCTTGTGGGTCTTGGCTTGTTTCTAAAAAAGGCGGTGCATTAAAATTTGTGTTCGCTTGCGCCGGTGCTTCTTGGTCCGTCTCGCGGTGATTGAAATACTGTAACAATTCCTCTTCGTGTTCTTGACTGTTGCCTTCGTTAAGATAGTCATCGAGGTCGTGCTTGTCTATGTTACATATGCTAATCACTCGTTCTCTATTTAATATTTCTGAATGTTTCTCTTCGCATATCATGCCAGTTTTGATATTGATCTCGACCAAGCCGCAACAAGAGTCGGGCGTGGCCGTTCGATCGGGTAAGTCTATTTTATCGGGGGAAGATGCCTTCGTTCGACAGTAGGGTTTGCGTAGTTTGGGGCGTTCGCACTTAGGCGTCAGAGCTTTCACCGACCGTGTCGGACTCGCCGCCTCCTGTTCCTCCCGAGCCAGCGCCGCGGCGGTGCTTTTGGACCGGCTCGTTAAGTTTTTTGGATCCTCTAAAAAACCAACCTCGGAACGAGCAGATGTTTCGGTGATGACCGACGACGTAGACGTTTCGGCGGAAGACAAGGCCTGCCTGGCGGCGGCCAACTTGCCACCCATTATTTCTGCGGCTCTCATCTTTTTCGGTAAGTATTCTGTTCTGGGAAAGTCCTCGGTGACATGATGCGTGGGGCGCGTGTCTATTTGAGAGGAGCGGGGAGAGCCGCCCTGTGTCTCACTCTGATAAGTTTCGAGGATGAGTTTTTTGCCGGGTAGCGGAAGGCGCGCCGGCGGAGGTTCCGGAGGTCGCCGTCGTTGCAATTCAGTACGTTCCGTAGATAGATCTAGTGAGGCGTCGCTGCTTAGGTTTATAGGTAAATTATGCGTCGTGTCAGCGGGCAAGGTTAAGTCACGTGGTGCATAGGGCGGCTCGAAGACGTAAGGGTCGGGGCGGTATTCGTGAACGGACATCGGATGGGGCGAGGGCGTCATGTGCGGAGGAGGAGGGTGGGCGCGCGGGGGGACGCCGTAGGGAGGGAAGGGGGGACGCACGTCGTACACAGGCATGTAAGGAGGTTGGTATCCGTAGCCCGGTTCCGACATCATTTCGCTTTCGTGTTTTACTGGACCATGTTGACTTACGTAAGAAGTAGACGGCGGAGACTCTCCGCTAATCTCTTGACTTTTGTTCTTTTTTGGTCGACCTGGTGTGCCTTGCGTCTGTAATTAATTGCCATGCTAGGAAATTTATCAAAAATAAAACAACGTATTTTGTTCAAAAATTTACACTCACCTGTAATTTTCGCTTCAACTGTTTGATCAATTGTCGACCGGAGGGTTCGTCTGCAGGCGCTAGGACGGAAAAAATATTTTTAAAGAAATAGGCTTGGCATAATGGATAAATACATAGTATGAAATTACATTAAAACAATTTATAAGACTTCTATAAATCTATAAAAAATATCTAAAAAAGAAAGAAATGTAATACCATGTCCTATCGGCGGAGGCGATGCACTGGCGGGCCCGGGCGGCGCTCTCTGACTCGTGCCGACTGTCACCAGGTGACGAGACAGTTCCCCTATGCTTCCGAATTTTACACCTTAAAACAAAGTAAAACAGTTCGTATTTGTATCACAAATATCGATAGTGCCATTAGATCTTACTTCTTACTAATATTATAATCACGAATGTTTAGATGGATGCATATTTGTTTGAAGGTATGTTCAGAACGACTGAACAGATCGCAATGAAATTTGGCATACATATAGAATATAATCTGGAATAACACATAGGCTGCTAATTATGGTTTTTGAATGTTGTAGAATAGACGAAAACAATTGTAATAACAATATTTATCTTACCAAGTGTACTTTCAGCCCAGTCACAAACAATTCTTTCAGTTTCTCTAGGAGCAACTGTGGATTCCTGAAAACCAGATTTATAAATAAATTCCTACTATTACTATACTCTCTAGCTAATTCTAAATAAGACATATGAATATAAGGTTCAATTGAAAATCAGTTTCCATTGCTGCGTGGTGACCATTTTGGTAAATTTTTGTTTTTACAATAATATATATTCACTGTAGCAAAAAACTTATTTTCTTTCTATATCAAATATATTCAGTTAACATTTTTAATACTTATTTATATTTCATTAATTTACTTAAATTCAAATATAATCTTCAAACTAGTTGACAAGAGTCAATCTTTAAACAGTTTTTTTCTAATTTTAAGTCATTGTAACACTGAAGCAACTATCTACTAGTAATTAGCACCATCTGTGTGCAATTAAGTGACAATATGTTAAGAAGAAATAAAAAAAACATTTTAAATACTTTTGATGTTTCCCCTAATACAGGTAACTGCGGCACTTCCAGCTTGATCTTCTTCCGAAGACCAGCATAACAGTACCTGTAAGCCAAACTAATGTTTAAACAAAATAAAATTGAACAAAAGTTAATAAGAGATGCAAAAACACAGTTAAAAATATATTCTTTCTTATAAGCACATTTTATAGCTATGAAGGTTTAAAGCATACCTCGAGTTGCCACGTGTTCCCAGCCGACGAGGACGAACACTTGGATAAACTTGCTTCATAACCTTTCCAAAATCAGCTGTTGATAAAGGCTTCATGTTGCTACTCATGCAATGAGCTCTGAACAAAGAGATAAAATAAAATATTTATTCTAATACCAAATTAACCTATTATCTGTTGAGCTAATATCATGGAAGCCAGTAGGGTCAAAGTAAAATTCCATATGAGATGAAATGAAATTGTTGAATGGATATTATTAGCCAAATGAGAAAAATGTTATGTATTCCTGCCTTTTAACAAACATCCATACATCCAAACATTCGCCATTATAATATTAGTAAGATTTACAATGGTATGTTTTATAACTAAGTACTATTGGAAATATAATTAATATTTTGTTAGCTTTTTGCCAATAGCAAAGATTAATTATTTTGGTTGGTTTGCTGACTATTTATTTTGCATATGAGGATTTATGCACTAATTAACAATATTAATATCATCAATGTAAATAAAATGTAAGAAAAAAACAAATATTTTAGTAATAACTACCATACACATAAATAAATAAAATTAAAAACACTCACATATATTCATCATAAACATCTTGCTTTGGTAAGGAAACATCCGGATCAACTTCCAAATGAGTCTGTATCCATGTTACAGTTTGTTGTAGTTCCGCTCTAAAATCATACATACGCAATAATAAAATACATTAATAGTCCAACCATGGTATTTTACCTTGGTATTGTATTACATACCGTGAACCTAATGGATTGATCGGTTGTTTCAAAGGATCGTGAGGTGGAACACCTGTTGGCAGACGTAGATAGAGTAAAAGTCTCTCAGCACCACTTAGAGCCTCCACTGCATCTAACAATTGGGTTACTCTTTGCCGACCTTCTTGGCTGCAAGATAAGTGGTACACAAAAATTATTACAATCAATTGTAAAAAAAAAGATATCAAAGAAAAGTATTATTTTAATGAATTTCTGTAGTTTTAAATAGTAAAATAAACTATTAAACTATCTGAGCTTTTCTCTATCTAGCTCATAACAATCTCTATTTATATTTTATTGTGCTGTAGTCTTGTTTTCCATTTGGTTCCAAAGACTTTGGAACCTCATTATATTTTAATTAAATGTTAGAGCAGTTGAAAAATATTTGTACAAACAAGTACCAAATAACATAATATTACTTAAATTATTTACAAAAAAGATCTTACAATTTTCAAAATTAATTCATAGTTTCAATAGAACATAAAATAATTGTAAAAGTAAAGATATATCAATTACACTGTAAATTATAGTGATACTTGTAATAAGTATTTTGTTGAGTATACTTTTTTATTTGGTACAATTTTATTTATTTTAAAATGATTTCAATTTTTACAGCATATTTGATTCCAAAGCAATTAGTAAGCTAGACACGTTAAACGTAAAATTGTAAAAATATTGTTAGTTGGTAAATGAGCGATACCTGAGAGTATTCTCGACGATTTGTTGCATAGATGATATTTTGCTTGAGTCCATTATGGACTCTTTACTGGCACCCGGGGCACTATCAGTCCCTGGAATCGTTGATGGTCCCGGGACACTGATTGGAGCAACGACACTTTCTTTATCGTAAGACGCAGTTTGCCTATGTTTTGGATGATTGACATTTTCCCGATGAAGTTTCGCGTCATCCACTAATTCCCTATCGGCTTTAACATTTTTTGTATTATCATCACTGGCCCAAGGTTGAAATGGAGTCGAATGGTCCATTCTAACCCATGCAGGTCACAAAAATTTTATTGTTAGACTTCATATTGGAACTTTTTATCAAAATTTACTATGCGTAACAAAACTCCATTTTCTTGACAATTGACATTTGATCAGCTGTGTGGTGAGGTAGAGTGAAGGGGGGAAGGTAAACTTTCTGTGGATTCCAGTCTTTTGGCCAACAATTTGAATAAAGAAATAACAAATTTAAATAAATTGTAGCAATAGAAACAAAGAGCTTATTAAATGAAAAAATAACAGGAGAGGAGAAGAAACACAACACAAAACATTGCTACTGACTTCTACCAATTACGAGGAAGTGGAAGTTACGTGACTTGCTCTTTGATTGGTGGATTCTATACTCTTCTCTATGTCCGAAAGGTCTATGTTACCAGGTCATAAAATAAAAATAAAATGTTCTCTTTATACGCAACGTTTGGCAATTAGTTTTTGATTTTTGACTTTTGAGAATTACCATACCAATGTTTATTATACGTTTATCTACCTTTAAATAGTAATTACTTTTTTTGTATGTACGCCCATACGCTACTCTGATTATCTATATTTACAAAAATCTTTTGGAGTATTTGTAACACGGTAATTTGCTATCAAAATAATTTAAAGTTGACTTTCATGTTTTGTCTTGCAAACTTGAAATCTTTTTAACGTGATGTTTATTTAATTTAAAATTAATTTATTCAAGGGGGAAATAGATTACATTGAAGAGTGTTTACAAACGTGATGTAAGTTAATTATAAAAAATAATTTTAAGCAAGCACAGGCTTGTTTTAGCTAAGATATATGTTCCTAGGCACTTGAATTCGTAAAAGATAAGTCTAAGATGTTTTAATTTGGTTTTCAGGAAAAATGGATGATGAAATTGACATTGAAGAACATGATGTACTGGATAATCCTGTAATCAAAAGTATATTTCCTGATTTGACGATACTAAAACAAGAAGTTTTGGGAGATTATGATGAAAGTTAGTATATATAGTATATGTTTATAACCGAACCTTTGTACCTTTTCAACAACCGATATTATAACAACTCATATGTTTATTACTTTTTAAGAAAGTCCTAAAACTACAAACACATTTCTTGTAACTCCTAATCATTGCTTTGAACTATGAATATCCATTTAATTTTTTCAGTGTGTGTTGTGGAACAAAAAGCTACAAAAGATGATATTGTTCCCAAATTGGAACATTTCAGTGATAGTGCTCCTATGTCATTGGAAGAAAATATTGATGAAGACCATTATGTATATAACAGCCATGCACCATTTATAGGAAACAAAATAATATTGGGTTCAAAACCAAGTAAAGATAGATGTAATTTATCTAAAAGTAATGTTTCAAACAATACTGTAAGTCTATATAATACAACAGTGCTATTAAAAAATATAAAACCTTATTTGACAAACTCTAGAAGGTACTGTGAATTATGTTTAATTCTCTTTTCCACACAAGAATCTTATAAAATTCATGAATTATCATATCATTTGCATCCAATCACTCGTACATCGGAAATAAATAAGTATACAGAAAATATAAAAACAATACCTAACAATTTTTCAGTTTATACATGTCACATATGTAATAAGACATTTACAACTCTTTCGTACTTAAATAAACATATAAGAAATATTCATTCTACAAAAACAATTGAAAATATAAATGGGAAACATGTTCCAAAGCCGATGGGGTCTTGCTTTCATTGTAATGTTATATTTCCAAATGCGCAATCACTTATTGAGCATTTATATGATACATTGGGAACCAAGAAAACAAATGAAATAAGAAATAAAAATGCCTTAAATAACCAAAGCATATTCATAGATGTTGAACATTCAATCTCAGAAAAAAAAGAAAGTATGCAAAAACAAAATAGTACAAATATTGTCAAAGTAAACGGTAAGAATGATGTTTTAAATTCAAAAGAAGCAGAAACTTTTGTTTACAGGTGCACAGTGTGTTTTTATTGTTTTTTAAATGTCAAGATACTTGTTAGGCATATGCTTAGGAAACATAACATTAAAAGCCTAGTTTCACATAAAAAAATATTATATGACCAAAAATGCAAGCTATGCTCATCTGAATTTTCGAAGGTTTCGAGGTGTAATGCACATATTCGAAAAGTTCATAAAAATGTGTTAGTATCCAAGACTTTGAAAGAAATAATAAAACCAACAAGGCTTTCAAAAAGTCATAAAAAATCAGAGAAAGACAGGTCTGCTCCCGCAATTAACAATATAAATGAAGATGCTCCTATTTTAAACACCAAAGAGAAGCATGTTGATTATATTTCAAAGTGTACTAAGAAGATTTATAAAATTAGAAATAAAGATGCTTTATATAAGCAAAGTGAGTTCAAAAAAGTTGTACATTCAGTCTCAGAAAAAATTGATATGGAGCAAAAACAAGTCATTGAAGACAGCAAAAGTGTTGGAAAAGTGATCAGTGAAAATGAAGTTATGCGTAAACAAGACATAGATGAGAGAAGAAATGATGAAAGTGTGGTCAGTGAAAGTAATGGTTTATGTTCAAAAGAATCGGAGACTCTTTTATACAGGTGCAAAACATGTTCTTATTGGTTTAAAAGTATCCCAATCCTAAAAAGGCACATGGTTAAAAAACATAAAAATAATGAACCTGCTTCATCTAAAAAAATGTTATTCGACCCAAAGTGCAAGTTTTGCTCATTAGAATATTCAAATGTATTTAGATATAACCAACATATTAGAAAAGTTCATAGCAAAATGTTATTTTGTAAAATTCCTAAGAATAAAAAACCATCTAGCCTTCCAAAATGCGATAAAAATTCAGACAAGGCTGTATCTGTTAAAACCAACTCATTGAATAAAATAAATAAAAAAGCTACCATAGCTATTATAGACACCAAAGAAAACCATGTTAAGTGTATTTTAAAGTCTGCCTTGTTCCGGTGTAATAGATGCGATATACATTTTTTAAATGCTCAAGTCGCAATGGATCACGACAGTCACATGGAATTGTTGGTTAATTGGAAATGCTTAATATGTAGACGTATTTTCAAGAAAAATGATAAAAGCGATCACATGGTGCAACATTCAGTCACAAATTATTTTACAGTTTATGGTATTTCTGAATCTACACCATCTTTAATCTTATACAATTGTCCAAAATGTAGTGTACACTTTGATGAAAAAAAATATTTGCAACACTTTCCAGTGTGCGAGACGGTTTCTTTTGTGCATGTAAAATGTAAATTTTGTGGTATTCTCATAGACAGTAATCTTGAATGTTTACATAAGAGTCATCATCGGAAGGGAAATAATCTATCAACTGGTTTCATTATTGTGAAAACGGATATCATACAGAAAAATACCTCAATACATGATACATTTGGAGATTCATTGGAAACGGAGAAAACGAATGAAATTAGAAATGAAGATGTTGAACATTTAATCTCAGAAAATAATGAAATGTTACAAAAAGAAGACATACAGGATACAAATATTTACAATGAAGATTTAATCGTAAACAATAAAGAATTAAGAATTAGCAATTTGAGTAATGACATGTCGACAGAAGACAATAAATTATTCAAAGTATATTATTGCAAAACTTGTAAATGTTTTGTAAATGAACACACTATTAAAAAACATAAAAGCACAAAATGTAAAGATGGTGATGAGCCAATAGTATGCATATTGTGTGGCTTGATTTATCCTCGAAAAAATACGTCTTCGCATGCAAGATTACACACTAAGAAAATAGATTTAACACTTCAAGATTTCGAATTTTTTGATTTGCAAAGTAAACGGTTAATAAATCCCCCATTTCCTGTATTTCCACAGTGTAGTGGTTGTAAAATACATTTTCCTCGAAAGAATTGTGTGATACGACATTGTTGTGGTGCTGAAGAATACACTACGTGTTCCACATGTAAATTGAAGTTTTCCGAATTAGGGTATAAATTACATATGAATTACCATAACTTAACCTTCAACCATTGCAAATCATTGACCAATACAACTAAGATATCGAATAAGTTAACACCAAATTCTGAACCAATTGGTAACATACTGATATATACATGTAAACTTTGCCATATATCTCTAAGTAATTATGATTTAGTTGTAGAACATTGTCAAGAGCACGTGAATTCTGATAAAATAAGGGCACCTGCAGACATGTGCAAAATCTGTAATTTAGTATTTGATGGTGAATTTTTCAAGAATCATGAAGAAATTCACTCAAAAAACTTTGATAAAAACAAATTACAAATTATCTATTTTGATACAGTTGGTTTCATGTCTGATTACAAAGCATGGATTAAAAAAGTGTTCAATTCCTTTTCTGACGCCGAAATGCAAAATATTGTTGAAAAGTCAGTGTACAAAGATGAAAATAAAATTAAAATGCAAGTTATTCAAGAAGGATCTTGTGATGTAACACTGTATAAATGCGACATTTGTAATTGCTTTATCGACCCACAGACTCTGATCAAACATCTTGGAACTGATTGTCGAACAATTAGAAAACACACTTGTAAAATCTGTTTTATACCATTTGTTTCACAAGCATTTCAATTAAAGCACGAAGAAATTCATAAACGACCATTTAAAGGTTTAAAATCGTATAGGATCGTACTGTTTAATAGAAAAGAGGACGAAACTTTAAAAAGTTCCTTGTGTACTGAAAATTGTTTTACTTTATACAAATGTGCAAAATGTAATGGTATCGTTCACAAAGATGAACAAGCAGATCATTTATGTGATAAAAAAAATTTAAAATTATGTATCCAATGCGAACTTTTAATACATTCTAAAGATTTCCATTTACATCAATATACACATAAAAAGCTTGATACGTTTGTCGCCAAAAATATAAAAGTTATAGTTTTTGCTCAAGACAATGAAAATAATGACAAAAAAACACACAGCAATAAACACTGTCCGCCAAAAAGAAAAAAATATGATTATGAAATTTATAAATGTAAAAAGTGTCAAATATGCGTAAAAGATGAAGAAGTTTCGCGTAAACATGTTTGTTCCTCGAGCATTTCAAAGTCGATATGTACCATCTGCGGACTTTATTGGGAAAAAAATAAATTAAAAAATCATTATGCTCTCCACAAGTCCGATAGCAACTTCATAATTGATAATATTACTTTGATAGATATTGACAATACAAAGACCATAAATACAGATTGTAATCTCGCTACAACTTCTATGAAAAACAGTGTAATCGAAACTAATAAAATGGAACATACGTCGTCTAACGAAGTATTACAAAATACAAATTCGGTGCGGAAAAAAATTGTAACTACGAAACTATATAGATGCTTGTGTGGCTTCCATTTTCTAGATCTAAGTTCAACATGGACACACCAAAGTTCTTCGTGCGGTTTAAAACATAAAAGTAATGTTCGGCAGGAGTGTTCGAAATGCGGTCTTTCATTCAATCCAAATGTATTATTTAATCATTTAGTGAAACATCATGGTAACAAAGACATTACTTATAAATTTGATATAATTGATGTAATAAAAAAGAATAAAAAAAAATCTTGAAACCGATTGCACAATAACGCGTGATGTTTGATAACTTAATAGGGTTACTGCCTTACATTTGTGACCTAACAAACAAGGATTGTCATCTTTGCGATCGACTATGAGACAGTAAATGACGAATATTTACCCTAACTATCTTATTTTTCATTATTTTTTGGGAACTCAACAAAGATGTTATTATGAACTTTATTGTAAGGTTGATACTACTAAAATTATAATTTAAATGTTCTCTATAATTAAGTAAAAACAGTGTATGAACAACATTTACAATATACAATTATTTAGTTATTTATTTATAAAGCTAACCTTAAACGGTACATGCATACTAAACTAACTTTTAAAATAAACTGTAGAAGATTACAAATAAATGTAAGTTGATTATATTTTTAGAGGTTTTCAAATTACATAGCAAGCATTCAATACGTTTGAAATAAGAATGTGCAAATCGATAAATGTAATTAAAGCCAGTAAAAGCGATAATAAAGTTTATTTTTGTCTGAATCTTCGAGTTTTAGATTAATACATATTTATGTAAATATTTTTGGTCGAAATTTACTTTTCTAGTAATTTTTAAATTGACGCGTACATTCTTCTTTAACACAATATCGATAGAAATCAATATTCGATCTGGAACCTGTTTTGCTTTAATTTATCTTAAGATCGCAAAGGAATTTAAAAACCAAATTTATTGTTTAGAGTTTAGAAAACGGTGAAGGTTATTTTATTAGTTGCATATTGACTAATTAAAACAAATTGAATTTTAAGGATCGAATATTGATTTAGGTAGTAAATGGCGTGTTTTAGGTACAAGCTTAAATGATTATTACATTTATCTTATGAGCTATAAATTGAATAAGTGTGTTTCAAAAAGTGGTTTTGTTGATTTTGTACATCATTTGATTTTTTTTATTAACTAAAAAAAAAGATACATGTTACGTATTTATTGTCTACCAAAGTCTATAATGTTGTCCACATAGAAACTAAGATTGGAATGAAATTATCAATAAATAATGAAGAAGCAATAATTGCCTGCATGTTAGTTTGGCTAAATGGTAATGGTTCAACTTGGGCTAGCTTGTATGAGTTTTGGAAGTGGGTTTAAGGCATTTTAAGTTATCTTTATATAGTTTGTTTATTTGCTACCAAATAAGTGTTTTATTCCAAAAGTTCGTTTGTTTTTTCAACCAGATGTCACAGTTTATCGCTAGATTAAGCTTATAAATATAAATATGAATTAAATTATATCGTTGCCTCGACTTTCTCGTATAATATAGTTAAATGTGTCTTTACTTTATAACATTCTTATAGTTATTCATTTACCACTATAATTAGCGTTAAATCTTATTGTAAGTCTGAAGTTTGTACTCTTTATTATTTTCAAATGAAATATTCGTTAAGAAATAAAAGACGTAATATTTTTTTAACAAACACCTTTCATTTTAGTACTCATAAACAATACGAACGTAGTTATTATACTAATAGGGGTTATGCGTCACAACTCTGGTGTTTTATGACTACTTAAGGGACTTCCTTAGACTTTAATTTTCGTTAAGAACTATTCAGCAACCCTTAACCCTTTTACTGGTGGTGGCAATATGTGTGCCACCAACATTTATTATGATTTTTTCCACTTTGTAGCACTAATACCTTAAAACATGTTTTAAATTATTACACCAACTGCAAGAGGAAAATCCATGAACAGAATTTAACAGAGCTCATACTGGTGTTGGCAAGGATAGTGCTACCATGTTGTTTTTTTTTCTTAAATAAAAGTTATAAAAGTACCCACAATAAACTAAAAACACGAGTTTTTACTTTTCTGAGACACAAAATTGCTTCTACCAGTTAAGGGATTAATGGTACTGAGTGATACCCGTACCTGTACCTATTTTATTCGTTACATCAACTGTTGTTAACTAATTTGTAAATAAGGGAGTTAATTACTCAGATTCGTTAATTTGTAAATAAGGGAGTTCCGTTATTTGATTATGCTAAATCTACTATAGACAAGACCAAGACCCTCTTTGGGTCCCTATGGCAGCGGAGTAAGTAAATCTACTATTCGTGTTCTACATCTACTCTATGACGTTGAAGTGACTTTAACTAGCTTGACATTTTATTTATTTTATACACTCTTTGTTTTATGTACTCTTTGTAGCTTGGCGTTAATTTGATAGATGGTATGACCTAAAGGTCTATGTTACCAGGTCCTAAAATTAAAAAAAAAAATGATAGGTGACATTATGTCAAATTAAAATGTATCAAATAAACAGAAAAAGTATATTTCTCAGCCGCTTCATAATTGAATAAAAGCTGTCCACTGTAAAAATGATTTAATATTGTTATATTAAGTATTACATTAGAACAAGACAATTTAGAAAAAAATACGAAATGTTTCTTTACGAACGTGCCTGCCTTTGGCTGGGTCATATAAAACTATCTCGTGTGATTGTAATGGTTTCTGTTATTCTCTTCGTTGTGCCGCTTTTTACCCATTATTATTTATCTAAGGTAATATTTTGTTATATAATAAATAATTACATTTTTATAATTACCCTTTTCTTTTTATCGATTATTGAGCTGTGAATTTTTAGCTTAAAACGCTTCATTGTTTATAATGAGATAACAGCAATTAATTTATATTCTTAAAGTGTTGTAGAGGTAGAATTGTAGCTTAATGTTTTTTTTAATATGAACATAAAAATCATATGAAAATTAAATTATATTCAGTAGTTATCTATTGATTCTCAGTGAAAGTTTTAAGAATTGCAAAAACATTATTCTAAATTTCATTTTAGATTGATCAATATTGTTAGCAGTAAATGATAATTATAAGAATATCCAAATCAAAAAGTTATTTATTTTCAGTACGAAACTGCATCTGTTGCTTTAGGTAGCAATTCAATGCGACATACTTTGGAAGCTCTAGGAGATATATCAACAATGAATATAGCAGATCTTAAATTAAGAATAGAAGAAATGCTTAGAATTAAGGTAAATAGACATTATAGTAGTATATATTAACTGAGTATGCTATCAAGACATTTATAGAATAGAGATCATAGAATAGAATAGAGTTACATGTAAGAATTAGGCAGAATTTTTTAAAATGAAATATAAACTTGTCTATGAAGTATATGAAGACTTAAACAAAAATTTCATATCCCAACACAGCATATCCCAAAGGAACATAATTAAATATGATTAAATACTATACTCTAGGCTTCCGTATCTACCGAACTCAGAGAATTAGAAGAAAAACGTGGGAGACTTCAACGTGAATCTGCAGCTGCAAGTGCTAAAGCTGATAATGTCAAAGCTGAATATGCAAGAGCTACAGCAGAGTTGCAGCGATTGCGTGTTTCCGCAGACCAAGCGCGGCTCGCTCAGCTCGAGGCGATCCGTCGCGACACCCCTGAGCTCGCACCACCCGCTCTTATATTACCCTCACAACCTCCACTCATACTTCCACCAATAAGTCCCTCTTCAGAAATAAACTGTCGAATGCATTCCTGCTTTGATCATTCCCGATGTTCGCTAACTTCAGGTTTTCCTATCTATTTCTACGATCCAGATGTCTTTTCACCCCTAGCAGGTGCCGAAGTAGACGGATTCCTTAAAACTACGCTGCGTCAGACTCTCGGATATAACGCCCATCTTACACAGAATCCCAATGAGGCTTGTGTATATCTAGTTCTAGTCGGGGAATCGTTTCCGTTTGAAAAATCGGTTTCGTAAGTTTTTTACGGTTTTTTATATCAGTATTTAATATATTTAAATTATTGTTCTTAAACTATTCATGGTGTTTCAGGTCGACAATAGAGCCATACAAATTGTTGAATGAAACTGCAATCAAAAATTTACCGTATTGGGGCGGCGACGGTCGTAATCATGTATTACTGAATTTAGCGAGACGGGAACTATCTGTAGGCGCGGGCGACGCTTTCTCCGGAGCATCTACAGGCAGGGCTATGATCGCTCAGTCGACGTTCACATTGAATCAGTTTCGATCAGGATTCGACCTGGTGACTCCGCCGGCGCTCGGCCCACCTGGTGGCGATGTATGGTCCGACTGTGCGCCCATGGCCCCGGCGAGGAGAAAATATCTTCTCAGGTATGTCACCTATCACTTTCATAAGTTGTGTTAGAGTATTTGTTTACATTGATAAGCGACATTTAGTTTTCAGGGATCACAATCGATGACCACTTCGTTTCAAAAGGACAACGATACTTATTTAATAGAACGCCTAAAGAAGATGGCTAATACAGCTCCCGAATCTGACTTATTTTATTTGCAATTTGATTGCGATCCGCCTGTCGAGAAACGCTCGGTGAAATCTATCGGCGACTGGGCTTTGTGTGGAACAGATAGATCGCGACGATCCGTGTTGCGAGATTCGACATTCGTGTTAATATTCGCTCCAGGTGATAGCAGTTATACTACGACTGCGTTATTACAAGCAAGACTGTACGAAGCGCTGCGTTCGGGCGCTATCCCGGCCATCCTCGGCGGAGACCGGATAACGCTACCGTACGATGAGGTGCTCGATTGGCGTCGAGCTGTTTTATCTTTGCCCAAGGCGCGTGTTACGGAACTGCATTTTCTTCTGCGTGCGTTGTCGGATTCTGATCTGCTAGCGTTCAGAAGGCAGGGCAGGGTTTTATGGGAACGTTATCTGAGTTCTGTACAAGCAAGTATGGATTCCTTACTGGCGACGATACGTACTCGACTAAACATCCCGGCGCGGCCCGCATCACCGACTATGGGTGCGCCCGCATTTAATGACTCTTTCTCGCCACCGAAACTGGAACCGCCGGCGGTCGACACTGAGCCGGAGGAAACGCTAGGTCCTCTGGAGGCTCCTTATCCGAGTCCAGCGTACAGACGAAACTATTCTTTGGCACTGCTCCACGGGTACGAGATGTGGAATGACTGGGGAGAGCCCTTTGCACTCTACCCACAGCTACCGTGGGACCCTCCGGTGACGTCTGAGGCCAGGTACATGGGCTCAGCGGCGGGCTTCCGACCTATAGGCGCAGGGGCCGGTGGGTCCGGCAAGGAGTTTAGCGAGGCTCTGGGAGGAGACCGGCCCCGGGAGCAGTTCACGATCGTCATCCTTACCTACGAGCGAGAGACGGTGCTAGCTGCGGCACTCGCACGTCTCCGTGGGTTACCCTATTTAAATAAGGTTAGTTATTTTTATTTGAATTGTTAGTAAATGTTACTGCAGATTTCTATTTCTTAATGTGATATGTATTAAAATTAGAACAGTACGGTTATGTTTCTTTGTAATATTATTAATTATTCGTTTACGTGATACGTCTAATGCTGGAATGTTTTATTCAAACGCTAAACTATTTTCTTGATTTCACTTCATGTAAAATACAACGGAATGAAAATGGCGATAGTAAGAATGTTGGTGAATCGTGTCATCCTTGAGTAACTGTAACATATTCATCTTAATATACAATTATTTGATTTTAAATAACAGTCGTTGTGCAGGCAGCGTTGATAACAGGAATGCGTTCTACTTGTATACATTTAGACTCTATTTCCACTATATTTCCGATAAGGTTAAGAGTTAAGAGACCATCTGAAGAAATAGAAGTCGCCGTCGCAAGTGTTTCCGGGCGATTATTAAGTTGATTGAGTGGAATTTATTAAACTAACTTACAATCTATGGACCACATAACATCAAAAGTAATCGTGGTCAAGCGCTAGATTATTTAAAAAAAGCTTTGTGGTGGTAGGTGGTGGTGGTATGGAACGGTGTGACTCCGCCGAGCGCCGCGGCGTGGCCGGACTGCGGCGCGCCCGTGGCCGTGGTGCGTGCGACACGCAACTCTCTCAACAACCGCTTCCTGCCCTACCACGTCATAGACACAGAGGCCGTGCTCTGCGTCGATGATGACGCACATCTCAGACACGATGAGATCATTTTCGCATTCAGGTAACCCATTTGATAAGGTGAAGGAAAACATCGTGTTGCAACCTGCAGATATGTGTGTGCGAAGAAATTTAGAGATATGTGTGAAGTTAACTCGTACTGGGCCAGTGTGGTAGGCTCTGACCCGCTCAGTGGGGATGTATAGTGAGCTGATGATGATGAACCTGAAAGTGAACATTTCTTGAGGTACATTAAGTTGATATTTTGTATGGTAAAAAGAAACACTAAACATTTTCCACAGAGTTTGGCGTGAACATCGCGATAGAATCGTCGGCTTTCCGGGCCGATATCACGCCTGGGATCTTAATTTTAATAATGGATTCCTTTACAATTCGAATTACAGGTAAAATTTATATTACTTTCAAGTTTTTAAACATCCTAAGCTATATGCAACGACAAGCAGATAAAACAAAAAACTTAGTAAATATCCTACATGTTCCAGACTATGTTCTACATCTGTGCTAAATTTTATCAAGATCCGTTGCACCGTTCTGGATATATCTTGTAACAAATATGCATAAATATGTCCACGCAAACTTACTCATTTATAATATTAGTAAGGTTTAGTAAGAAGTAAGATTTATGTCCGATATCAACTAGCGAGTGACATAGAAATAAAGGTAAATGTACTGTATTGGTACAGCTGCGAGCTGAGCATGGTGCTGACTGGCGCGGCGTTCGTGCACCGCTACTACCTGTGGGCGTACTGGCGCGCGCTGCCCGCCGCAGTGCGGGACTACGTCGACCATTACATGAACTGCGAGGACATCGCCATGAACTTCCTCGTCGCTCACATCACCAGGAAACCACCAGTTAAGGTAACCAACCTAGTTTTGGGCCTTGCTTACTTTATACCAAGTTTTTATCACCCTGGTGGTTAACTAGTGCTGAATTAAAAAAAAATAGCCTGTAATATGCCAGCTACTTTCCCTTCAAAGTCTTGTTAACATCGGTGCGGCCGTTCCGTAGATTAATCGAAACAAACGCGGTCTTACTGAGAGACGGACAGACAAAAAATATTAAAAATTTGTTCTTCATTATTAGCGACGGAAATATTTCACATACGCGATTTTTTTTCTCGATATAACATACAGACACTTTAATTATATTAACATATATAGATATTTTCCCATCTACAAAAGAATGCATACGTAACTGAAAATTAGTTGTATTAGGAGATTATAAAAATATAATTGTACACCCTCTAACTCTGAATTTATTGTCTTATAACGGCTATGTAGTACATTTTATGTTTCTATAGTATGTTTGAATGTGATGCAGGTGACGTCACGTTGGACGTTCCGCTGCCCCGGCTGCCCGGTCACCTTGTCAGCAGACGAGACACACTTCCACGAGAGACATAAGTGTATACAGTTCTTCTCTCAGGTAATAACTCTTTAGTACCACTTTATAATCTTAATCTGTATATATAAAAATCAATTGGTGTTCGTTAGTCTCGCTAAAATTTAAGAACGGCTGAACGGATTTATCTTATCTTGATATTGTAACGTTCTTGTAGGTCTAGGGAACGTGTAAAAGGTGAGAAAAATGTTTGGATGGATGGATATGTGTGTTTACGAAGATTTTCGCTAAAATTTAACATTGATGAGAATATCTGGAAGAACATATAGGCTACTAATAAAGTTTTTTTTTTAATTCAGCTCGGACGACAGCTACATATATGCAAAAATATACGAGGCAATGTAAACTATAATAACATTTAGAATTTTTCTCCAAATTTAATCAACTTTCAGCTTTATTACTATAACGTTAAGGTTCAAATTTGAGGTATTTATACTAATTTTAATTTCTCAATCTTGTTTTAATATTTATAAATTATAATGTTATTAAAATTAGTAATATTTCGACAGGTGATGGGATACACGCCGTTGTTATCGACGCAGTTTCGTGCGGACTCGGTTCTGTTTAAGACGCGGATACCTCACGACAAACAGAAGTGTTTCAAGTTCATATAGAGTAGGTAACTGTCAAGCGATTCATGGAGCAAGTCTATCAAACATTTGACTTGGCACGTCGGGAACAAGAGTACTCTACTGCAAGACGTGCCAACAATGTTACTAATAAGTATTTTTAATGAATGTAAAATGATCTTTTATTTTTTAGTTATAATAGCGAATGATCTTAAAAAAAGCTAGAATAATATAACTGACCATTGCGATATGTTTCTGTATTGTCATCTCTCTCGTTTTCTTTGAAAAGAGTGAGACAACAATATATACGACGAACACGGATTAAAATAAGTTCTCATCAAAAATCATTACAAAAATCAAAATATGTATCTGTATGTTTCATATCAGGTTTTATGTTTCTTATATTTAAATGTGTGTTTGTATACACATAAAATAACATGGTCTATTTTAAATTATTTGACACGTTTAATTCTGTAAATATTTATAAGAAATTTACCAAAGAAATGGATTAACAAATTGAAATATTTGAATAACCGATGAACAAATGTTATAGTGAAATATGTAAAAAATATAAATATTTGTTGCTTGCTTTTTTACGCATATGTATATAAATAAAAACGCTTAAGGAATTGAAGGAATATTAAAATATATATTCAATGTCTACCATCTGTAGGTGAAAATCGCGGGTGCATTTATACATTTAAGTTTAGAATAACTTTTAACCTGACTGACTTAAAGATCCTTTTTTCTCTATGTGCGAATACTATTTCTAATGGCTGTAGCGTATCCGCTTTATTGAAATAAGTCAAGGCGTTAGTGGAAAAAGGGCTTAATGTTTTTCGCACCTAATTTAGACCACCAAGTCTGAAGAGTTTCATTGGATTTATTTGTTTATCAGTTGTTATAAAGAAGTCATTTACTAATTAATTATTTTTGACTTGAATTTATTATTTTTAGTAACATATTTTTTTGAGATTATTGTTCATTTACATAAAACATAATTATAACACATAAGTAATAGGTAAATAAGAATACCGTATCAGTTTACTCTATATACAGGGTGTCCCAAAAGGTTACGTACATAGGAAGGGGGATGATAGGGGTGGTCACAAGGGTCACCAGAACAATAAAATAAAAATTCCCCTCTGGGCATAAAAAACATAAATGACATTTTTTTAAAACATAAAAATTTTACACCTTTTTTAACCAATTTTGTAACCAATGACCTACAAATATTGCTACATTTAAAAAAAAGCTATTATGTTATCGTCAATAACCCTTTATCAATATGAAATAAAAAAAAAAACAATACAACTAACAAAGATTTTAAAGAAAATTAAAATTGCTCCAGAAGGTGTAAAATTTTTAGGTTTTTTAAAAAATGTCATTTATTTTTTTTAATACCCAGAGGAAAATTTTTATTTTATTTTTCTGGTGACCCTTGTGACCACCCCTATCATCCCCCTTCCTATGTACGTAACCTTTTGGGACACCTGTATAGTTATTATGGAATAACAATATTTTACTTTGCCTTGATAAACTTTATTCAAGGTGCGTCTAGCTATAATAAGACATCATTTAATTGTATAGTACATTGTCACGAAGAAAATCCGAAAATGAGCCAGTGTATTGACTCAATATTAGCCTTACTAAAATGTCGACGTATTTGTCCCCTCACTATTCATACTGACATTTGACTTTGTAACGAAAGCACGTCATTCGCGCCAAAGGATTCTAACTAATAATATTAAAAAACATATAAGTACATATATGGGCGCTGTAAATTTGTAATATACTGACTGTTTTAATTTTACCGCTAGAAATAAAATAATTTGATTAATTATATTGTTTATTATTTTGTATATTATTTATATTGTTTATTAATTACAAGAAATTAGTACCGAGCGGAGCGGCGCGGGGTCAGAGGGGGGGGGGGGGCGATATAAACAAAAGTACTACTCGTGGGTAACTCAACTAAAGTTGATGACTTGCAGATCAGATCACTTCAATTTGTACCTGCATAGAGTTATGATTGCACGTTCTGCCATTCGCCGGCTGACTCGCGGCTCGTTGAGCCGTGAGCTGTCAATTTAGTTATTGAGCTACAGCTCAACGTTTCAAACCTATGTCAGTTGAATTTAAATTAGTTCAGACCTAATTTTAAACGTCTAAAAAGTACTACTCCGCTCTCGCTCGTCTCTTCGCTTTTCGCTATTTTCGTGTCCGTAGCTTTAGTATTATAAATTGTAATTGTCGAATAAAAATATCTTAAATACTATCATCTCGTTTCTTTCACATGAAAATATATAGATAATGAAAAATTAAAAATGCTTTCTTAAATATGTTTATTAAAATTTATTCGTACATGATACATTTTGATATTATACGACATATTTCACAAATTATAGTTAGTGAATTTATTTATTTATTTTGAGAACACTTCTAAATGGCCTGTAATGTATTATGACTTTAGAGTATAATTGGTACTTATTTTTCCTTAATTTAGTGCTACTAAGAATATACAAAAGAAATCATATTTTTATACTAGAAAATTTCATTCACTCTGAGATTGCAGGGAAAACTATATGCGATTAAATATATTCATAAAATAGTCGATTATTTATTTATCGATGAGAAGAAATACGATTTATTCTATTTAATAAGAAACTACATAATTTTGTTCGAGAAATGGAATAATATTAATATTAACACAGCGATTATTTGGACGATTTGTAAACTTTTTTAGATGAAAAGTTTAAAAATGTATACAGATATAAAATCTACACTATTATTATATTATAAGACTTAAATAATTAAAGAGAAGTTCGATAAATAGTACAAAATATATCTTTTGTATAATAGAACTTTTTAACGTCGTAAATGTAGAAATTATAAAGGTTCATAAACTTTTTTTTTTATTTTAAATTTTAATTGGAACAAAATATTCTTTTTTTGGCCAGTATAAATATTAAAATAAGTTAGTATTTGGATGGTTTCATTGGCAGTACATTTGATAATTACTGAACACAAATTCTACATTAATATCAAGGTGTATTATTATTTTTTTGCTTCCTTAAATTAACATTTATCTTTATCAATGAAGATTTAAACTTGTTCTGGTATATTTGAAATTTGAGATAGAAATGGTGAGACACAATATCAGAGTATAATCAAATATAGTGCATAATAAAAATTCATTAAGAAACGCCAACCCAAGCTACGAAAACAGTAACATGTGAACTTAAAACACATAACATTTTTTAATAAGAAATTTTATTAAATTCGCTTTTCTTCATCAGATAAGTTTGTAGTAAGAGATACGATAGATTAAAAAATGAAGTCAAATAAATTTTGAGAGTTTGTATTGTTGTAATTGTTTTCGTCGCTTGGACCGTACAGATTAAAAATGTTTTAATATAGTCTGTTGCGAGTTGTGAGTGGAGGCACGCGCGGGCGCACGTCGCTCGGCACGGAGATCCCGCAGGGCGCGGGCGGCGCTAGCGTCGCTCGCTCTCAGGCCATATCCTCGCCTTTTCCGTCCAACCTCTTCAGCTGAAATTAATTGTAACTCGATAAGTATTACATTACTAACGAAACGTTCTCGAAATTAAAAATACTTAATTAGTAGCCTTTGTGCACATTATGTTCTACATCTATGCCAAATTTCATCGAGATCATTCCAGCCGTTTTGTAGATATCTTCCAACAAAAACATCCATACATTCACACATTCGCATTTATAAATTACCCTTTGCAAGTTTGAGAATAAAACTTTCTCATTTGTGCTAAAATATTATGGTTGCTGAAAGAGAAATGGGCTTACGCTTTGTTCAACAGTCCACGCAGTAGGTGCTGGACGTCCAGTTCGCTTGTAAAATGAGATTTATATTTAAGAAAAATATTTATGTGAGTAACAAACAACCCAAAGTACCCAAAAATAGCCAGATGGAAAGATAAAAATGTAGAGACAATTTATTTGAAGAGTGCTTGATAAATGAACGAACTAGTCTCCTTAGGAAGTGGTTTATCGTAGAGTTAGCTTTTTTGTAGATGTTGATTTCGAATTATCGTAACGTACGACGAATAAACATTGATCAAGCATCCGGTAAATTTCCTAATTATTATCTGATATGATTGTACAATGTGTTATCATTCATAAAATAGAGAGGCGATTTAAAACTAATATCTGAATATGTAATCTTTGCTGAGATTTAGGCAAACAATATGATCGATCTATTACTTATGGTAATTATTGATAAAACCGTTGACAAATAATAAGCCTTTCGGAAGTCATATAGATAAATGTATATTTTTAATTTGAAGGTTTAAATTATTTAAAATAATTCGCTTATTTAACCATATACACCTAATTTAAATCTTTAACAATTTTAAAAAAGCAAACGTTTATTTTACTCGTCAACAGATGGCGTTGAACGGTATTAACTTTGTTTTAACTACCACTTACACTTACAAGCAACATTTCCAAAGATGCAACGGAAATAAGTGTAAACGAAAAGAAGAGCAGATAAGAATCAAGACAAAAGACAAGTAAAGAGGACTAAATAAGTTTAAAATTGTTAATTAAAACAGGATCTTGTAGATCGTAGTAAAAGATTTACCTCCTTGTCGTCTCCAGCGACGGGCCTGTAGCGGGGCGGGGTGATGTTGTCGGCGGGCGGGGCGGAGAAGCCATGCACGTAGAGCAGCGCCGCTGCCACGCCGCCGGCCACCGGGCCAGCCCAGTACACCTGTATACGTATAACATTAGTGGACATTGCCTTATGGTTAGGATGGGTACAATTTACAGTGGAAGATTTTAAAGACAATGATATCAGAATTTATATCAATAACATCGGTCGTGTTGCGGACGTCTTTCAAAGGACCGGTACGACAAGATAAGACAGATATTACCAAAGCAAGTAGTTTAATGTGGCGGATTCCATGGATGTCCTCATTAATCTCTTTCAACCATTCCAACCATTTATTATTACAGCACAATCTAAGACTGATTGTTTCAATGCAAACTTCATGATCAACCCTATACATTACGTAATCAAACCAGAGATTATCTTAGGAGTTCATACTCTAAGACACCCGGAGTCCACTATATTCTATACCTACACGTTTTTGGCACTTTTAATAGCAAAAAGATAAAAAAAGAAAGAGGAAAATAGAGTGAATGTAGTGTTTTAATATCTTTATACATTTTATTAATAGTGCTTTCATTCCAATTAATTGGATTACTCGGAAAGACAGGATATTTAATAGGCCCTCGGGTACCTACGTAACTATTATGTTATCAGATATTTGCATGTAGGTGGCGCTTTTACTGTTTGCGTCCTTGTGGTAATGCAATTTTAATGGTATTGTCCCAACGTACATTGATTAAATATTTGCAATTACGATGTGGTATCTACAATTTTACTGTTCAAAAAGTAGCAAGTTGCTGTAATATATAAAATCGTATAATATCAAAGTATTCCTATTTAAAATAATTTATAGCAAAATTTGGTGCAATTCAATATTATTAAAAAACGCGTTAATAGAAGTTTACACTTTCGACGTCGCTTTTAGTCGATTAGCCTTTCAAATTTCGACGATGTTTCGCTGTTGTTGATTGGCTTGGATGTTTCGCGATTTGCCATCTTTACTGGTGAAGAAATTTTCCATTTTATCCTTTAAATTGTGTAAAATGAAAATTAGAATAATAAAATAATTGCAACTATATTTGTTAATTAAGTCATCGCTGGGTAACGAAGTGAAGGGTATAACTATAAATGGTCGTTGTTACGCCATGTGTTACTAGAAAAAGCTATGATCCAATCCTAGCTGTAATGGATGACAGGTCGTTTAGGACCGGACACGACCGACCGCGCGGCCTACACGACACCACATTAACATTATAAATTGTCAAGATAATGCCATTGTCATGAGGAATAACGGAGATTATACCGATTTCAATGATCTGCACTTTTTATTTGATAGAATTTATAAAGAACCAAATAATTTTAAAATAGCAATTTAAGTTTAGTAAGTTTGTACGCTGACAAACAGTACAATAATATCTTATTTAAAGATACAATATTATTACTGTAGCTTTGACTATTCTTAATGTTCGATTGTTAATTCTAATTAAAAAAAAAATCGATTATTTTCTCAGTTAGAAATAAGTATAATAACATACTTGTAATAAGAGATTTATTAACTAATTTCTTTTGTTTTATAACAAAGTAACTACATACATTGACAATTTTTGTCCTTATGAGTCTTGCCAAGATAGAAGGTAAAAGTCCTGGGTGGACAGTTCTACGATATGTCTACAAATTAGATGAAAGTTGCATTGACAAAGAGAGAATCTTTGTATGATTATAGGTCCCATCTCAATACAGTTATACAGGAATTAAGAAGTTAGTGTTTAGCTTACCCAGTGGTCATTCCAAACATTGGCGACGATTGCGGATCCGAAGGAGCGGGCGGGGTTCATAGCGGAGCCTGTGTAGTCTACAGCCAGCAGATGTCCAAGGGTCACCGTTAACCCTATCGCTAGAGGTGCAGTCGCTTTGCTGTCTGGTTTGTTGGGATCACATACCTAGAAATAGCACACATGGCTATTATTATTCTATTCCATGTTATAATATTAACTCCGTAGAAACTTTGTATCTTTATATACTTTGACCTATCCTACATGACGTCAATCTGTAAGTTTATGTAAGAAGATATAGCTTAGTCGCCTCTGATCATCGTATAATATTTTAAGAGCTTAAGTGATAAAACAGGTTCTTAAAACAGGAACTATAACTTAACGGTGAAATGATTTATAATTATAATTTAATTAATTAAAAAGATTTTGTGCAAAATACAATCTTGAACTTGAATTAGGTGCAGTGATCTTCATTGCCATAGACGATAGACGTTCGGTTATTGACCCTGACATTTCATATTTATCTTGATAAGATCATATCAGACAATTTATAAAGATGGCGTCTCTGATTTAATTTAGTTCTAAAACTTAATGTTGATTTTAATCTGAAGTTATTGATCTAGCGAGTTGTGAGTAGTAGTAATCTGATAGTATGGAAGACAATAGATTCAGGATGCTAAATCTTTTCGTACAGAGTAGATGGACGACATTTTTTATGGTCAGTTAGTTGCCAATTGGCGCCTTATTGGACTGACCTTGGAATTTTTAATGTATACGAAAATCTACAAAACATGAAAGATCGAATGCAAAGTAAACATAATTATCCCGCGCTGTCGCCATGGCGTATCTCTGACACTATATTAATAAATTGTCAGATAAAAGTTAGTTACGATCTGCCGACGATGTTTATTGACTCTATATATTACAAAAAAAAATCACCGTAAAAGTGTTATATCAGAACATTAGGTAATTAAGTAGATGTTTAAATAATCATAGCTTTTAGTTTTGTAATAATTTTCTATTAACGTACAAAATTATATCAATTTGTGAATTTGCTATAAAGTGCAATATTAAAATTATCATATTTACTTCACGGTACCATCGTGGTTGCCATTATTTAAGCGTACTGTTAAGCCGGGCTTAGTGAATAATCCCTAACTACCTTAGGTCACGAAATCTAACGTTCTCTCCTATTAACTTTCGGATTATTTTTACTAGTTCACTGTAAAATTTAATATTAGAGAAAGCCAAAGTCTTTTAGCAGTTTGGCTACATTTATCATAGCAGCCTATTATTTTTGTTTTAGGATAAACAAAAGAATGATTTACAATTAAACACATTTGATGTGGATGTTTTTAAATAAAGCTTCAACTCTTCGACGTCCGCTCATGATAGCTTAAACTAACCAAGAAAGTATTAGTTTTTTGGAGTTCCATTAATATATTTTAAATTCTTTACTTACACCACAAACGACGAAGATAAGCACAAATCCGAGGAAGAATTCAATCCCGAATCCTTGTAATGGCGTAACGTCAGTGCCCAATCCTGTGACTCCGAGTGAGCCCGCAGCCCTGTCCGGCGTGAAAGCCTTCAGCAGACCTGAGCCGGCCGCTGCGCCTGCGCACTGCGCGATAATATATAGTACCGCGCGGACTGGCTTCACGCGACCGGCGGACGCGAGTCCCACTGTCACCGCCGGGTTCACATGGCCTCCTGATACATGCCCGATTGCCTATACACAAAAAAGAAAGAAAATTTATTATACATAAAAATCGAACTTCCATAATACACTGGCAAACTAATCCACTATTTATTGACCATTCTTCTTTTGGTGCAATTGACGTTTTATCTTGAGTAAAAAACCGTATAATGTAACAATTATATAGTCGATATCGTCCACTAAAATCATTTTATAACTCAAAACAAATAACCAATCACAATACGTTAACATTGTAAAACACTCGTCATATAAAATTATATTTGTACCTCTATTAACGAATTACTTTTGAAAATGCTATTATTATTCGTAGAATATATAAATAGATTTTTAATCTGTTATCTAATTAACCAATAAAAATTCAATTTAATTCGTGACGTTAAATATATGCCTAAATGTGTCATCACACAGATTACTAATTAAATTAAACGGGCTAGGTTACAAGTTTTTATACAATAAACTGCGATACCTATTGCCAAATATGCGATGCCTCTCAACATACGTAACTAAATAATCAGATTAGTACTTACAGAAACAATAGCAAACACTGATAATCCAAACGCAAGTGCAATGAGTACAATATCAGGCGCTGCGGTCGAACCTTGCGCTATGTTCACACACGCGCCGCATCCGAACAAGTTCAGTAGCAAGTTACCTGAAAATATTAACTCAATTTAGTATTCTATACTACCCAGCTACATTCTCACTGAAGGTTTTTGAGTCTAACTTTAAGGTGGCACATCGCGGATTCGTTGACTACCCACACTTGAATTTCTCCCTGTGTCATGATTACCTTCACCGTAAGAGAATTTACAGTAAAATATTCAGATATTTAAATGGAAATACTATTGTAATGGTACACTATTTTATATGAGATATATTGAATATATGATTACCAATAAACTCTGCTAATATCGCTTTGATGATGCCCGAGGATGCACCAGACAGCTCGTCCAGGCCAAGTTTCCTTCCAAGTTCACCCATTTTTCTGTGGAAAAAATATTAATAAACTAATTTTAAGAAAGTAAGAAGATAGATCTACTTAATTTGGTCTTTACTTCTTTATAACAGGCTTTATACATTAGAAAGACGTCTTTAAATAATTACATTTTTAAGTGACATTTTCTTTTGTTAAATCAAATAGATTTTTGAAAATATTTGAAGAATAAAGAGTAGTATTAAGTTTACTTGGAAATATTTATTTGTCTTTTTTGTGTTATATTGGTTGCTTTATCCTTTACTCTATCTAACCGTCGCGTTGGTTTTCACTTTAAAACATCGATACAAAAACAATATTGTATTCTCAGATTTTACATCAGTCTCTCTCTGAAAACGATTATATTCTGTTCCACTATCTCGGCATTAACTGACGATAATAATTATCTACCGCATATCAAGCCAAAGCAATTTCAATTATATAATAAGACCTTTTTTTATTTAAACATCATTTAATGTGGACATACCTTACTCTTTTGTTAAGAGATTCTATTCGCTTTGACAGCTTTCGTACGACTACAGCTTTATAAAGAGATACAACTATATATACGGGAAAATAACGGATGAAATCGAGTTCCTATCTGATTTAATTCATCCGAACTGCATATCGAAACCGGTTTATCATTTCCGAGTAAAAAATTCGTGATACCACAACCTCCTTTAGTATCAAGTGACGAGGAATTGGGAATACCGCCGTGACGTAGTTATGACGATAGAGGAAAAAAATATTTAATAAAAAAAAAATTAATTGAAAAAAAAAATCAAACGTGTTAGTTACTTTCACATAAAACAAATATACAGTAAGACCATGAAATAAACGTTCCTCTGAATGTATTTTAATGTAAATTAAATTATATGTTTTTTTTATTTAATTTGAACTGATATTTCCATGTAACATTTTTAAGAATAACAACAATATCCTTTTTGGATTTTTACATATTCTTTAACAGAATTTATTGTTTTTATCATACATTTATTATTCCATATTAAGTCATCGAAGTGAATTTTAAAGCGAAATTTTCCTCGAGTAAAGTACCTTCAACTTTCATTTCTCGTATTTTTCCATATACGAAAGTAAAGTACTCGTATAATTTAAAATTGGCCAAGATTTTATTTGTACCTTGACTTTATTTGCGATGAACTTTTGACCGTGTGCTCTACAATGATGCGTATTTTACATTTTTTACGAGTACATTAATTGTGTTGCGGGATTTTTTATAGATTGTACCGGACGTAAATTAGGTAGATTAGACTAATTATACAGAAAGTGTTCGCTCTGTTTGTTGCCCACGTTTTTGATGGGACAATTCATTGACAGGAAATTAGGGACTTGTATTTCCGACAACGAGTTAGTTGAGTTGCGTTATAATTGTATTTAAATTTCAAATACATTTTCATGTTTAACTATAGGAATTGAATCTTTTTAGTTAATCAGGGTTCGTTTAAAATATAAATAAACACTTAATTGTGTTTATTTTAAAATCTTTTGCGTTTCTTGTGAAAATCTTTTGCTTTTTTCGCTTATATTCTTGAAAAGCGAAAGCACAATGTTTTTTTTCGGTATTTAAACCAACCTAACCATAAATTATAGATTTATACAAAAGTTAAAAGAGGTCGCAATGCAAAGTAAGTTATTACCATGAGTTGATTACTTGCAGTTGCATAAACATTGATTGGCATTATTCCATGCACCTTGTAGGAACAAGACTTGTGCCGTTCACCGTGACCGATACCAAAAAGAATAAAAATATGCATAACGTTTCATTACGCCTTGAGTTGTTTATTCATATGCATTTACGCCATTGATCTTTAGATCGAAGCTGCATTATCTTTATTATTCCAAGAATTAAAATAAACAAAGCTCATGGAAATATAAACATGATCGGAAAGTTTTGATTACGCATAACACAAAAATGTATAGGTTCGGAATAATTTAATATTAATATAGGAAATAAATATTAATGTAAACTTTATTTTTAAGTGTAGTTATAAAAATTGTAATTTTTTGTGCCAGATTTCGCTTAGATTGTCATGTAAATTAATTAGCCTCTAATCAATCCTCACTACAATGTGAATCAATCATGTGATACGTATTCGTAAAGCTTAATATGATAATTTATGTTGGTCAGTGTTAACTTATGTAATACTAGCTGTCGCCCACGACTCCGTCCGTGCGGTATTAAAAAAAACTTAATAAGAAGCCTATGTGTTCTTCCACAATATGCTCTACATCCCTGCCAAATTTCATCGAGATCCGTTGAGCGGTTCTGGAGATACATTCAAACAAACATTCATCCATCCATCTAAACATTCGCATTTATAATTTTAGTAATATTTTGTGTAAAGTTTGCCATAGTTGACATTGTTGTATATTTACGCATATGCTAATTGATAGGGGCGTTGTAGGTATGCGTATCGGTCCATTTTAAAATTCTAACACAAACTGACAGTACCTATATTTGGCAACTAGCAGTTGGCACCGACATTGTCTGTGCGGAATTTAAAAAAAAACATATTAATTATTATCGTATTAGTTGCCCGGGATATAGTAGCTTTGTAGTGAAAGAATTGTTCAAATCAGATCAGTACTTGCAGAACCTATTCATTTTAAAGAAACTATAAAATCTTTCCTCTTTATAATATTATTAGTATACAAAAATAATGTTAACACATAGCAATAATAATTATTAAGTTTTCCAATAAATTTTACTATTATAAGGTACAACTAAAAATACTTCACATGAAGTCATATCCAGAAATGAAATTGTTAATTGTCTAGAATGGTTGTAGTCTATATGAAAACTTTTGATAGCTTAAGTAATAAGATGTTAAAAATGGGAACGTTAGTTCCTTGGTTTCAAAGGATCATCAAGAGTTTCGGGAATTGAGGAAAAAAATCAGGTACATAATACAATACTAATTAGGTAAACCACAATTTATTATCAAGTAATTTAATTTCTCCAATTAGATAGAATAATTTTAGAAATCTTTATTCACAATTCCATCATTTGATTAAACATTGTGCGTATTTATTTCACTTTCAAAGAATTAACTATAAAATACTATCGTACACATTATAGGAATTTCTAATAAAAGTGTGTCAGTAATTTTAATAACGTGACATTCTTTTCTAAGGTCAAGTTCACATATGAAAAATAACGATTTTTACTTCCAAATCAACACGCACCCAATAATAATTACATTTGTATGCTTTGATGCTTTTTACTGTTGGTAATATTGAAATTGTACTCGGTTTGAAACAGAAAAGTATAAAATATAAGGGTTCCGTTTTTTTCCAATAAGGTACGGAACCCTAAAAATAAGTATAAATAGCTGTATTACACATAAAAGAGTTTCTATCTATCAATTTGATTATTGGAATGTTCTAAAAAGTTCTAATTAAGGGCTGTTTCAACCAAAAGTGTGAGACCATTACTTGTACGTGACTAAAAGGGTCATTATGACAACCCTATGATTATAATGACATTTTGTCATGTTAGTGTCTATGTGTACTTGTGATTGATTCACGGAACCTGGATTGTTTTTAAGAGTTCAAGGGCATTGTCGATAATAAGCCTTTTTGACAGTAAAATATTGTTGAACAATTGAATAGCGTAAGAGCGATGCCACATTTTTTTGTTTTTTAAGTTTTGATTTATCAGCAATTATGCAATATAATTAAGTAAGTATAACTAAGTTAAAATTTAACCGACTTCAAAAACAAAGAGGGTATATCTTCTCTATTTTTTGAGTCGAAAAGATCTGATCAAAATATAATTGTTTTAAGGGTGTTTATTATTCCTATTACTTAGGCGATGATCATTTTATCTTTAAATTGATACATTTAAATTATTAGCGTAAAAAAATAAGGATATAATAAACTGATTAATTGAAATGTAGAAAAAAAATTAAAAACGTATTAACATTTCCTCGCGTGTATTCATCATTTTGCTACTCAATTTACGCATAATTGTGTCATCTTGCTCTAAGTAGTTGTATAAGTATAGATGGCAGATTACCTAGCAATTATTATGTATGAGTACTGTTTAATATTTTAATCAAGCAGGCATTAGCACACACGGACAAAAATAGCTATTTCCCCTGAGTAAACTCCCGCGTGGTCAGAATATAATTTGCTTATAAGAATAACAATGTATTCTTTGACAATGCACAACAGTTCGGATGTATTTGGCGTCTGTCCTTTAAGCCAGGGCTAAACTTTTTCCTTTGGGACTTTGCAACTCTTTTGTTTTATACGTCTACAAGGTGAGATATCGTTTAAAAACAAAGAAGTATTTACGTTGACTATTTTAAATTTGGAATGCACAAAAGATAATGTAGCCTTTAGGTACTAACTTTGAGTGATATATACATTGATTATTTGTGCTACGTGCTGGAATGAGTAAACATGACTTGATATATAATAGTATGGAAAATAAGTAGTAAAATATTAGCATTTAGCATAGGATTTTATATTAAGAGAGCTGTTTGCTTATTCTGGGTTCTGCATATTATAGAATGTCGATTAACTATTGTACAAGCAATTAAAAGATTACCTACTGTGAATATGTTAAGAATAAAAGTTGCTGAAGGAATGGTTACGGCTTACAATATTTAGAAATACTGACTACATTTCGGATTTGTTGTTATACAACATTTAAAATAAGCTCAATAACTTAGCCTAAAGATTAAGCTATTGAGCTTATTTGAATAGCTGTTCGAGCTTGAGGTAACATCTTACAATCGCAATATATGCCTTAAAACACATAAGTAATTCTTTAATGGAGTGTTCATCAAATGAAGTTGTATGAGATAAACATTTCTAGCACACAGAGAACAAGTAAGAGGCACACTTGTTAAACAAGTTAAATATTTGGTACAATTTAAAGTATCAAATATAAAGAGATGTTTAAGATGGTGCGTTAGATTAAATTCTTCGCTTAAGCAGTTTCAAAAATGGCGTTAATAATGTTACATTTTTTATCCTCAAAG